CCGCGGGGGGCGGCCGTAGCCTTGCCCTGTCTTCCTGAGGCCAGTGGGGAGCCGTGACGGTTATGGAACAGGGCAGGGCCAGAGAGGCAGTTTCTTTTTTTTTTTTTTTGACAGGCAGAGTGGACAGTGAGAAAGAGAGACAAAGGTCTTCCTTTTGCCGTTGGTTCACCGCGCTGATCCGATGGCAGGAGCCAGGTACTTCTCCTGGTCTCCCAGTGGGCCATCCTCCACTGCACTCCCTGGCCACAGCAGAGAGCTGGCCTGGGAGAGGGGCAACCGGGACAGAATCCGGCACCCCGACCGGGACTAGAACCCGGTGTGCCGGCGCCGCAAGGCGGAGGATTAGCCTAGTGAGCCGCGGCGCCGGCCCAAGAGAGGCAGTTTTAAATGCAGGCCGGCAGCTGTGCCCGCATGTCATCCTATTTCCCACCAGCCCCTGCCCTCACCTGTCCTCCCCCCCCCTTCTCCTTTCCGGTAGGTTCATCCGGTGAGGACTGGAAGTTGAGGGCTGTAGGCCCGGGAGTCAGGCAAACCATGGCCGCCAGCCTGTGGGGCCGGGTGCGGGGCCTCCTGCTGCTGTCACTGCTGCCATCCCTGGGGGCCGGCCGCGCTCTGGGCCGGGGCTTTTCCACGCCTGTTGAAGACTCAAAATCCCACCTGACCCCAGAAGCCCACTTCCAGGGCCCTGCGGGCTCAGAGCCCAAGGCGCTGGACTTCCTGTGGGAGCACCCTAGGGATGAGAGCCCCTGGAGCCCCGAGTTCCCCCAGGCTCCTGCCGAACAAGTGCCCGGGAGGCCCGCACACCCCGGCCCCGGCCCCGGCCCCGCCCTGCATGGGCCCCCAGCAGCCCGGAGGCCTCCGAGAGGACAACTCCCAGGAACCGACGACCTGCAGCTGGCTCGAGGGCCAAGCTCCCAGGGCTGGACAGGACCTTCCGAGGCAGTGGAGCAGGAAGCACCGGCTCCCCGCCCAGGGGGACCCCCACATCTCACCTTCACCCCCACGACTCCCCGGCTTCAACTCAGGGCAGCCACGGCTCCTCCCTCCCCGTGGGAGCCTGGAGGCCGAGCAGAACAGAAACTACCTGCAGAGGAGGGGCTGCAGGCCAGAGCCAAGACTGGGGGTCCACAGACTCCTCCCTCGGCGCCCCGGGGCCCCGTGCACACTCTCGGGCCGCACGCGGGCGCTGTCGAGGGGCCGCTGCGGGAAGAAGGCGGTGGGCCAGCAGAGGACTTGCAGGAGGTGGCTCAAGGCCCCCTCGCCACCCAGCAGGGTCCAGCAGCCCCGGACAATGCTTCAGCGTCCTCTCAGGAGCCGGGGGCCCAGGCGGACTTGGCGTTGGCCCGAAGTCTCCCCCCTGCTGAGCACCTGCCAGCCGAGCCCCCAAAAGACACAGGAGCTGGGGAGACCTGGGCAGTCAGCTCCCCAGGCCCCCCGCCCAAGGATGCTGACCTCCCCAATGCTACGGCTTCCCCAGGACCCCAGCCCACAGGCCTTGCAGCTTCTGCGGCCCCCGGCGGGCAGCCAGGTGAGTGCCGGAGTGCGGGGCTGAGTGGGGCCAGGAACCGGGCGTGTTCAAGGTGACCACTGGGCCTGTGTGGCTGTGACCATGCACCCCCCGGGGGGCTGGGTTTGGGGACCTGTGGGGGGGCGAGCAGCGTGATGACCACTTTGTCATTGCAGAGGTCGCGGCCATGAATGGGGCAGACCCCGTCTCCCCCCAGCGGGTGAGGGGAGCGGTGGAGGCTCCAGGCACCCCCAAGTCCCTCATCCCTGGCCTCCTGGACCCTGGCCCCTCTACAAACACAACAGAGAGCCCCGTGGGGGCCCCGCAGCCAGGTGAGGGCGTGGCCCAGAACCCGCATGAGGCCCAGGTGGAGGGGGCGCAGGCTGGGAGCCAGGGAAGGCACCTGCTTACAGGGAGCGGCCGGCACGTCCTGCAGAGAGCCTGGGCTAACAAACTGACGCCCACTGGGTGCTCCAAAGCCATTCGCCCTTTGGGGCTGGGGTGTTCACACATGTAACACGCATGTGCTTCGAAAAGCTCACGGGACATGGAATCAAGTGGGCGAATTTCGGTGCAGAAGAGCTGACATCCGTGTGGTCCTCTCACAGCGCACGGCTGCCGCTCGGCGTGGCATGAGCTCTCCCACGCGTGGCTTTCAGGCATTTCTGTACCTGCGTGAGCTCATCTTCTAATTCGATTTTCCGTGGCCTTCTGGAAGCCTGCTTATGTTCACAGTGGTGACTCCCCGCTCGGGCAAGTCACTGGGGGAGCTTTCTAAAACTCGCAGGGATGTGGCCTTTCGGTAAAGGTGCCCACGTCCCTCACGGGGGTGCTGGGTATGTTCCCGTTCCCACTTCCACCTCCGGGCCTGGCTGTTAAGGGCGTTTGGGGAGTGAACCAGCAGATGGGAGCTCTTGGCCTCTTAAAAATAATTAATTAATTAAAAAATCCAGTGCCCAGGCCCCCTCCCAAGAAATCCCAGCTCCTGGGTCTCCACGTGATGCTGACCTGCAGGCGGTGCTGAGAACCGGGTGAACTCAGCAGCACAGCTCCGTTTCCGTTTCGGGTTCATCCTGGCACACGCCGCCCGGCGCACACCACCGGCTGCCGCCTCCATGGTGCAGGCGTGCTTGGAAAAGTCGCATGAGCCCCGAGCACACTGGAGAACAGTGGGAAATCCAAAATGCTCTGCTTTCCTGTTCTTGCAGATGAACCCGAGGAGTGGCCCGGGCGCCCCCAAAGCCATCCCCCGGCGCCCCCAGTCCAGGCCCCCTCGACGTCGCGCCGGGGCCTCATTCGAGTCACCACCCAGCGAGCCCTCGGCCAGCCTCTGGCTCCGGAGCCCTCGGCCAGCTCCACAGCTCCAGCCCCGGCCTCCAGCCCCCCGGCCAACGCCACGGCACCGCCGCTGCGCTGGGGGCCTCTGCGGCGGGTGCTGAGCTTTTCCTGGGAGCTGCACGTCTACGGGGTGGGGGTGCTCTTCCTGCTGCCCGCCTTGCTGGCGCTGGCCACGCTGGCGGCCGCCCCGACCGGGCCCCGGCTGGCGCTAGCGGCGGCCGCGCTGGTGCTGGTGGCTTCAGGGCTGCGCGCCGCCTACATGCTCACCGACCCGTACGGCTCGCAGGCGCGGCTGGGCCCGCGCGCAGGCCTGGTGCTCTACAACCTGCCCTTCCCCCTGCTGCTCACCGCGCTGGCGGCCCTCACCTTGCTCGGCCTGGGCGCCGGGCTGCCGCCGCCGCTGCAGAACTCGCTCTTGCTGGCAGCCTTGGCGCTGGCGCATGGCGCGGGGCTGCTCGCCACAGACCTGCTGTCGGCGCGGCCCGCGCTCAACCTCCTGGCGCAGGGCTTGTCGTGCGCCTGGGGCGCGTCGGTGGCTCTGGGCACGCTGTGCCTGTGCCGCCGCCGCCTGCTGCACGGGCCGCGGGGTTGGGATGCCAGGCCGGGCCCGCGGCTGCTGGCCGTGGCGGGCGCGCTGGGGCTGCTGGCCAGCGGTTTGCAGCTGGCGGCCGCGCTCTGGCTGTACCCGGGCCCGGGCCGCGTGGGCCGCTTCTCGTGGGCCTGGTGGGGCGTCCACTTCTGGCTGCGCCTGCTGGAGCTGACTTGGGCGCTCGCCATGGCGCTGGCCGCGGTGGCCGCGGCGCGACCCCGGCCGCCCACGGAGCACGCCTGCTGGGCCAAGCTGCTGAGGCTGGCGTGCCCCGCGCCGTCGGGCAAGAGCGAGGTGCCCGAACGGCCCAATAACTGCTACGCGGGGTCCAGTGGCGTCGGCGCAGGCGGCCTGGACATCAGCAAGAGCCTCATCCGCAACCCGGCAGAGGCCGGTGGGCCGCCCGCCACGCCCAACTCGGGGGCTTGGGGCTCAGCCGCGTCGCTGGGCCGCGGTCCCCACGGTGGTCCGGGGCTGTCCCGAGGCAGCGTGGGGCCGGCGCCGTCGCTGAGCGAGCTGGACTTGCGGCCGCCGTCGCCCATCAACTTGAGCCGCAGCATCGACGCGGCGCTCTTCCGGGAGCACCTGGTGCGGGACAGCGTGTTCCGGCGCTGCGGCCTGCGCGGCCTGGCCTCCCCGCAGCCGGGGGGCTCCCTGCGGCAGCGCCGGGGCAGCCACGCGGACGCCGAGCCCGACGCCGCGGGCGCCTCGCTCCTCCGCTCCGGCCGCTGCCGGTCACTCAGCGACGTGCGCGTGCGCGGCCCGGTGCCCCCGCACGTGGCCGACGAGCCCGACGGGGCAGGCGGGGTGGCCTCCGGCAGCTCCCTGGACAGCTTCTCCAAGGGCTCGCTCAAGATCAGCTGGAACCCGTGGCGCCACGGGCTGTCGTCGGTGGACAGTCTGCCCCTGGATGAGCTGCCCAGCACTGTGCAGCTGCTGCCTGCGCCGGCCCCAGCCCCAGCCCCGGCCCCGGCCCCAGCCCGGCCCGGGGAGCCCCGCAGCGAGCCCCAGGCGCGCGGCAAGCCCGGGGACTCCCGAAGCGCCTCCAGTGATACCATCGAGCTCTGAGCGGCCGCCGGGGCAGCTGGACGTGAACTCGCCCCTCCCTTTCTGTCTTCAAATCTTATTTTTTTTTTTTTTCAGCGGGTATTTTGCACAGAGGCCGTGACTTCCGCGGAACACAGGGTGGACATGTGTGGGTCTGGGCGTGTGGGACTCACGAGACCTGGTGCCCGGATTCCCGGGCGCAGAGAGATGAGCCTTGGCTTGTCAAGGTAGCCTGTCCTCTTTGTGCCAAAGAAATAAACCCTTGGGACTTGGCTTACGCCTCCTTCTGGCCAGGCCGGGCTCCCGCGGCCCTGCACCCCCCAGAAGGGAGCCCCGCCGGGAGGTACCAGCCCCCGGGATTGGGGGGCGCACCGCCTGCGGCTCCGCCTGCAGAAGCCCCACATGGGGACGGGGAGTGGAGTGGAGAGGAGCCGCGGGCCCGCACACAGCACAGCCCCGCGTTCCCCTGAACACTTCCCCGGGAGGGGCGGCACAGGCAACGAGACCGACCGAAGCGTCTCCACTTTCCAAGACTTTATTTCCTGAGATCAGTGCATCAGTCAGAGGCTGCGGGTGGGGTGGGGGCGCGGTGAACACGGAGCAGAGCAGGGGGCAGCATGCAGCTCCCAGCAGGGCCCCCTCGCCCTAGGCAGGGGCCGAGGCTCATGGGCAGCCCCCAGCGCACGCGCTGCCGCCTGTCCAGTGCTCCCCGGCCAGGACCAGCATCTGCCTTCGGGGCTGCTTTTCCCGGACCCCGAGAGGCAGGCGGGGGTGCGCACCCCACTCTCCACGACAAGCCGAGCTGCCCCGACCCCGTGGGCGGGGGCTCATCTGCCCTTGATGAAGCCCTCGAGCACGCGGTCACTGCGCTCCGACAGCCAGTAGCCGGTCATGGCCGCCACGGCCCCGATGAAGATGGCGGTGAACACCAGGTCGCCCTTGGCGGCCAGCGTGGCCAGGGCGCAGATGATGACCCCGAAGAACATCTGCTGCAGCACCACCAGCTCGTCCTCGGTCATCTCGGAGAAGAAGCCCGCGGACTCTGGGCAGGGGCGCGGCCGTCACCCGACGCCAAGCGGGCTGCCCTGGACCCCGGGGAGGCCGAGGGTCCTCCCCTCCCCTCCCCTCTCCTCCCGGGGCTCACCTGGCACCTGCTCCTTCACGCAGAGGCCGCCCACCTGCTTGTAGCCCTCGGCGCAGACGCAGCGGTAGCCGCCCTCGGTGTTCTCACAGCGCTCGTCCTGGCCGGGACACACCACCGTCTCACACTCGTCTACATCTGCAGCAGGGGCAGGGGCGTGGCGCTGACCCGCGGCCCGGCTTCACGCACCCAGCCCCTCCCCCACCGCACGCCTGCGGGGGCCGCGCACTCACCGAGACACTTGGAGCCCACTTGCTGGTAGCCGGGGCTGCACTTCTTGCAGCGGCCCGGCCCCGCCCCCATGCAGCCCAGGCAGGCCTTGGCACAGTCTGGACAGAGAGAGAGAGAAGCGTGAGGGGCTCCGTGGCTCGGAGGGCGGGCGCGGGCCGGGGGCTGGGTGGACACGGACCTCGGCACTCGTAGGAGCCCTCCGTGTTCACGCAGAACTGGTCGGCCGCACAGGTGGCTCGCTCGGTGCCGCACTCGTCGATGTCTGCAGAGAGGGGCGGGGTGGGAAGAGCACACTCGCCCAGCAGGGGGCGGCTGCGGCCCCTCCCTGCCCTGCCAGGGGCCACAGTCTCCAGGGCACCTGCCGTGGAAGGGGGCCAGCAGCCTGGCCACAGGACAGTGCCTGCACGTGGTTCTTCCCTCGCCTGACGGAGCAGCGAGGCGGCGGGCGCCCGGTGCTTGGATGACCGACAGGAAGCTCCCCGTCAGCCTGGACCACTCGCTTCACAGCTGGGCCGAGAGAAAAACCTCTGGGGACGGCCACTGTCGCGGGGAACCTATCCCAGACGGCAGCCTGGCCCGCACCCTTGTCTACTTAGGCGGCCAGGCACGGGGTAAGCCTGACCCCCAGCTGCGGGACCCTCATTCCCCTAGCTAGCCCCTCCTCAATTTTCAACACTTGGCAGGAATGACACCTCCTGCAGGAAGCCTTCCCTGGTTCCTCCGCACCTCCTCCACTGAGCTAGATTCGGGACTCCCCACGCACAGGTTGGCGTGCCCTGTAGTGCCTGGTTGACCGTCGGCCTCCCCAGCAAGGCTGAGAGCACTGGAGATGGCAACTGTGTCGGTGGAGGCCCCGCGCGCGCGTGTGGGACCGAGCCAGGCCCCAGTACCCCAGCACTCACCCACACACTTGAGGTGGTGCAGAGCCCAGCCCTTCTTGCACTGCAAACAGTTTGATTCCTCGGGCCCAGAGCAGCGGGCACAGGGGCCGAAACAAGCTGCGTGGAACAGGCAGGGTGAGGGCAGGCTGGCCGGTGTCCCCCCTCCCCCCGCTCCACCCCAGCCCCACGCCGCAGCCTCTGGCTACCTACCGGAACACACCAGATGGCTGGCGTTGCGCCCTGCCTCGAAGTAGCCCAGGCCACACTGGCCGCAGGCCTCGCCCCCGTAGCCGGCCTGGCAGTCGCAGTGCCCAGTGCCCCCTCGCGTCCCTTCCCCGTCACAGCGCCCGTGGCCACCGCAGGGCCTCTCTGCGCCCCCGGGACAGGCTGTGGGCAGACAGCAAACTGGGTGAGACCCCGTGCATAACCTGGACATAGCAGAGAATTCGTCCTACACGTCACTAAACGGGGGCCCGGCAGCCAGGCGGGAGCCGAGCTCACAGGGCCACAGCTCACCAGACCCCGGCCTCGGCAGCCCCTCCCCTCCCCCAAGAGGAGCTTCCGGAACTCACGGAGGCAGGAGGGCCCGAAGGTGCCTGCAGGACAGCACAGCTTGAGGGAGTCTGAGCAGAGCCACTGGAAGAGGTCGGGGGCCTCCTGCTGCCTGGGCGGGGAGGGTGCGGCAGGCACTGAGGCTGCGCCGGGCGACTGCCCGGCCCCCGCCCCCCACGGCCTCTCTTGGACAGAAGCCGGGCCCCCAGCTGGAATGTGTGTGCCGCCGGCTCCCGGGCACTCACTTGTGGAACCACCAGCTCTCCACCAACTCCTCGCTCAGCTCCAGCAGGCGGTGGCACTCCAGGTCCGACTTGCCGCACACGGTCTCCAGCACCTCCACCAGGCGGGTCTCACTACGGACAGGGGACGATGGGAACGCCAGCCCCCCCCCCCCCGCCCCCGCCCATGACAACACCCAGCAGGAGACCAAGGGGCATACAGGAAGGGCTGTTGTTTCGGGACCCACACAGACCTGGGTTTAAACCTCATGCAACCTTGAGTAAGTCCCCTAACCTCGGTTGTCCCATCTGTGAAATGGGGACAGTAGCTCCCCCTGAAGGCTCATTGCAAAACGCCTCATCCCTTGCGTCTGAACAATGAAACACAACGCCCCGGGCTGGGGGAGGGGCGCTTGGTGTAGCGACCCTGGGGCTCCCGGGTTCAAGGCTCAGCTCCGCCTCCACTCCAGAGTCCAGCTTCCTGCTGATGCCCACTCTGGGAGGTGGCAGCTGATGGCTCAGGTGGTCCGGTCCCTGCCTCCATGGGGGAAACCGGTCTTCAGCCCGTCCCAGCCCCAGCTGCTGTGGGCAACTGGAGAGTGGTGGGGAGATCTCTTTCTGTCTCCCTCTCTCTGCCTGTCAAAGCAGACAGCACAGACTGGCAAGGAAGTGGGGACAGTGGAGCCGCCGGCCCCCCAGGGGGGGAAGCAGAATGGCACACAATGGGGAAGACGGCTCCTCCCCAGCTTACACATGGCGTCACCACGTGACTCAGCAACCCCGCGCCTGGGCGTTCTCCCGAAACACGGAGACCAGGAGTCAAGACAAGACCTTGCAGGCGAGCGCTCACAGCAGCGCCGCTTACAAAGGAAGCGAGCCCAGCGCCCGGGGACTGAGCAGACTCCATGGTGGGGGGCCCGGTCAGCCCTTGGCTTCTGCACCCGCGCTGTTCAACCAACCTCAGGTTCAAGGTATTAAAAAAAATACATGGCCGGCGCTGCGGCTCACTAGGCTAATCCTCCGCCTTGCGGCGCCAGCACACCGGGTTCTAGCCCCGGTCGGGGCGCCGGATTCTGTCCCGGTTGCCCCTCTTCCAGGCCAGCTCTCTGCTGTGGCCAGGGAGTGCAGTGGAGGATGGCCCAGGTGCTTGGGCCCTGCACCCCATGGGAGACCAGGAGAAGCACCTGGCTCCTGGCTTCAGATCAGCGCAGTGCGCCGGCCACAGCGGTAATTGGGAGGTGAACCAACGGAAAAAGAAAGACCTTCCTCTCTGTCTCTCTCTCACTGTCCACTCTGTCTGCCAAAATAAATAAATAAATAAACACACAAACACTGCACCTGTGCTGACCATGTACAGACGCACTTTCTTCCTTAGCAACCCCGTGCCACGGCGTGCCAGCATTTATGCTCGAACAGGCGCTACCAGCCACCAGAGATGATTCCAGTCTACAGGAGGACGTGTGCCCGGATTACAAGTACCTACAGACTTCAGTATCCGCGGGGAGTCCGAGCACCAACCTCCCGCCAACGCTGCGTACACAACGTAAAAGCACTGTGTGGTGACCAGTACTCCAGCTGCACACAGCACTGTGGTGACCAGTACTCCAGCCGCACACAGCACTGTGTGGTGACCAGTACTCCAGCCGCACACAGCACTGTGGTAACCAGTACTCCAGCTGCACACAGCACTGTGTGGTGACCAGTACTCCAGCTGCACACAGCACTGTGGTGACCAGTACTCCAGCTGCACACAGTACTGTGGTGACCAGTACTCCAGCTGCACACAGCACTGTGGTGACCAGTACTCCAGCTGCACACAGCACTGTGTGGTGACCAGTACTCCAGCCGCACACAGCACTGTGGTAACCAGTACTCCAGCTGCACACAGCACTGTGGTGACCAGTACTCCAGCTGCACACAGCACTGTGTGGTGACCAGTACTCCAGCCGCACACAGCACTGTGGTGACCAGTACTCCAGCTGCACACAGCACTGTGTGGTGACCAGTACTCCAGCTGTACACAGTACTGTGGTGACCAGTACTCCAGCCGCACACAGCACTGTGTGGTGACCAGTACTCCAGCCGCACATAGCACTGTGGTGACCAGTACTCCAGCCGCACACAGCACTGTGCGGTGACCAGTACTCCAGCCGCACACAGCACTGTGTGGTGACCAGTACTCCAGCTGCACACAGCACTGTGTGGTGACCAGTACTCCAGCTGCACATAGCACTGTGTGGTGACCAGTACTCCAGCTGCACACAGCACTGTGTGGTGACCAGTACTCCAGCTGCACACAGCACTGTGTGGTGATCAGTACTCCAGCCGCACACAGCACTGTGTGGTGACCAGTACTCCAGCCGCACACAGCACTGTGGTGACCAGTACTCCAGCCGCACACAGCACTGTGGTGACCAGTACTCCAGCTGCACACAGCATTGTGTGGTGACCAGTACTCCAGCCGCACACAGCACTGTGTGGTGACCAGTACTCCAGCCGCACACAGCACTGTGTGGTGACCAGTACTCCAGCTGCACACAGCACTGTGTGGTGATCAGTACTCCAGCCGCACACAGCACTGTGGTGACCAGTACTCCAGCTGTACAGCACTGTGTGGTAACCAGTACTCCAGCCGCACACAGCACTGTGGTGACCAGTACTCCAGCTGCACACAGTACACAGTGGCAGACAGCAACCAGGCCCTGGCACAGGTGTCAGGGACGACGATCCCGGAAGACGGGACGCTAAGAGGCAGCAGCCCGGCCCCAAGGCCACAGCACGCGGTGCCAACGCAGTCGCGAGCCCAGAGGGATTTCTGCCTGACTAAAGCTCACCGGTGGGTGTGGGCTGGGGCGGGGAGGATGAGGCGGGAGTGCCGAATGGGCGTGAGGTTTCTTCTCAGGGTGATGAAAATGTTCTAGGGCAGACAGCGGCGACGGCTGCTCCACACTGGGCATGCACGACACGTCCCTAACGGCAAGTTTCCTGAATTTCACTGCGAAACAATGAATCAATGATGCAGAGCACCATGCATCCACAGGGCCTGGCACGGTGCATCACACAGAGGAGGAGCTGACTAAAGAAAGTCCCCTGGGAGCCAGCACCATCGCGTAGCGGGTAAAGCCACTGCCTGCGCTGCCAGTGTCCCATATGGGCAGCCGGAGTCCCGGCTGCTCCACTTCCGACCCAGCTCTCTGCTGTGGCCTGGGAAAGCAGAAGATGGCCCAAGCCCTTGGGTCCCCTGCACCCACGTGGGAGACCTGGAAAAGCTCCTGGCTTTGGATCGGCGCAGCTCTGGCCGTTGCAGCCAATTGAGGAGTGAACTATCGGATGGAAGACCTCTCTCTCTGCCTCTGCCTTTCAAATACATAAATTATAAAAAAAAAAAAAAAAAAAAAAAAAAAAAAACCACCCAGGAGCCAATTCAGAGCTGTGGTGCCTTCAGGTTATCCAGGCCAGCGCTCGCTCACTTTTCCCCACGAGGGGAGTGAGGCCCACGGAGGGAAGAGTAACAGAGGCTTTCCTTCCAGTGGTTATCACAGTCCTCCAACGTGGGCAAACAGGTGTATTCCCGTTTCACAGGGGAGCTCCCGCGGCTGTGCGAGCAGAGCTGCCTTCCCTGGGTCACCAGCCGTGAACCCGACCACCTGCTCCTCTGTCTCACCTGCAGGCTCAGGCCTGTCTACACCAGCTCCTGCCTTCCCAGGGCTTTCCCCTCCTGACCACCCTCCAGTCCCGACTTCTCCCCAGCCCCGGGTCAACCCGGATCTCTCAACGCAGCCGGTTCCCGATCCCACGCCTCCCCTGAACCTCGGCCATCTCAGCAGAGAGCCACAGGACTCCCCCAGGTGCTCACGGCCCAAACTGGGCACACGTCTTTTCTTCCACGTTTCCTCTCAAGTCTCCTGACGAAGCCATGGCCGAGTCTGGGGGCCAGCCTGCGATGCGCCCCGGCCTCCACCCCAGGCCCACGTCTGTCTGTGGTACCGCAGCCCGGTGCCCTCATAAAGGCACCCGTAGACCACACCATCTCTGCTCAAATCCTCCCAACGGCCTCCCATGGCACTCAGCCACGTCTGAAAGCCTGTCTGGGCCTCTGCCATCAGCTTCTAGCACCTTCCACCGTTCACGCCACCCTCAGTCCCCACAGACCCCTCCCACAACCCTCACACGGCCTGCCTGCTCCCCTGGGGTCTTCAGCACCCGGCCCCACCCTCTCCCGCAGCCCACCTTGGGCTAGATTATTTATTTTCATAGTCTCTTCAGCTAGAACAGAACCTCCAGCAAGATGATGCTTGTTCCGTGAGTTAGCGCCCCACCCCCCGGGAGCCCCCAGACCCCACCAGGAAAGCAGAGAGTGGGAGTGAAGACTGTCCCAGCCCCAGCCCCAGCCCCTCACCTGTCCTTGTACTTGGACAACTTCTCCTCCTCCCAGGCAGTGTTCCCACCTCCAAAGTTGTCCCGAATGGTTCTCTCCAGCCCCTGGAAACAACGCAGAGGATCTCAGCTAACAGCCTGGCGCAGGCAGCACGCCCACCCACCTCACTTCACTGCCCGCACACAGGCCACCTGCGCAGCGACCACGCCGAGACCTGGCCCCTCCCTGGAGCCTGCGGGGCACCCACCTTGTTGAAGCTGTCCACCAGTCCCCGGCAGGTACGACACGGGTGGGGCTCCAGCGGGGGGGAAGGCTGGGGAGGCGGAGAGGGCTGGAGACACGCTGGGCGCAGGAGGCTGAGGAAGAGGCTCAGGCCCCACAGCAGAGCGGGGCCCAGCCCCCTCGGCGGCTGGGGGGCCATGCTTCCCAGGCTGGGGCACCTGCAGAGAGAGAGCGTGGGGAGGTGTCACGCAGGGGCCGGGCCCAGATCCCAGAAACAAGGGTCAGTGCGGGTCAGTGCTAAGGTGGCACGGGGCAGGGGGTCCCAACCTGCGTTTTTAAAGGGGACAGAACAGGGTACCCCAGGGCAAAGGGGAGGGGTGGGACCCCTGGAGGGAGGGGAGCGAGTTATCCGCGCCGCATGGGGAGAGTGGCCCGGGCCCTGGGCACGGGGGGGGGGGGGGGGGGGCAGGAGTCAGCCCATCGTGTTAGGGCCTGAGTAAGAACCCTGCGGGGCCGGGTCGGCAGAAACAGGGAGACGGGGTCAGATTCCAAATACTGAGGCGGAGGAGACCGGATGGGCGGCCCCGGGGGAGGAGCCCGGATCCGGATATGAGGAGAAGGGTCGGTTTCGGAGCGGCCCGCGAGCCGGCGGGGAAGGATCCAGACCCGCCTAGACCGCCGAGGAGGAGGAAGCGACTGGCTCAGCCCGCGGGCGCCGGCGGCCCAGTGTCCCCAACGCCGCCGCCGCCACCGCCTGCGTGAACCGCACGGCGGCCTCGCCCGGCGCCGCAGCCCGGGGGCGGGGCCCGCCTTGCAGCCAATGGCGGCGGGCCATGTGCCGTTACGTCACCCGGAGCCCGCCAACCAGAGGCGGCGCCAGGCTGCACCTGTCCGGGTTTTAAAGGGCCGCGGGGGTAGGGCCGCAGCTGGGCAGCCCGGCTGCTGAGACACGTGTGTGCGACGTGGGTAGAAAGAAATAGCGTCTGCCTTTATTCGAGTCCCGTCCCCGGCCCCAAGGCCCATCTCGCGCCCCGGCCCGGGGCCCCCGGGTGCTGGAAGCAGCTGTCCAGGGCAGGCTGGAGGGTCCGGGACACCTGCTGCGCCCTCTCTGCGAGCCGCCCGGAGCCGCGGGCGCACGGTCCCTGAAGAGCCCCCAGGAAGTCGGGCAGCTGCGAGGGCAGCGAGAAAACAGGTACGGTGCGGAAAAGGGCGGGCACGGCGTCCGGGGGGAGCAGGCCCTCGAAGCAGGCCCCGACGTAGCGGCCGGGCGCCCGGCCCTGCTGGAAGTCGGGCAGCACGCAGCTGAGCGAGGCGGCGAAGGCGTCGTGCGGGCCGCGCGCCGCGGGCGCTGTCACGCCGTCCTGCAGCCACTCGCGGCACAACGCCACGGCGCCGGGCGAGAAGAGCAGCACCACCACGCCGCCTTCCTGCAGGGTCCGGCGCCGCTGTGCGTGGAACCAGGCCAGGGGCCCCTGCGCGCTCAGCTCACGGCGGCTCCACAGCTCCACGGCCACGCGCAGCGGCAAGGCGCACAGCGCCGACGCCAGCGCGCCCACCAGGCGCTCGAAGCCTGCGTCGTCCGCGGAGTAGAGCAGCAGGGCCGCGCGGCCCCCGGCGGCCGCTGCCGAGAGAAGACAGGGGAGGGAAGCGGTGAGCGGCCCGCGCCCGGCCCCTGGGGCGGCGCCCGCCCCGCGCTGGCTCACACTCACCCCCGAAGCGGTAGTCCTGCTTAAGGAGCCTCAGCCACCCTGTGGGGAGAGGGGCGGAGGCCGCCGGTGAGCGCCCACGGCGGCGCTGCCCCTGGGGCAGGGGGCGTCCGGAAGCTCACCTTTCACGGGGTCTTTCCGGAGCAGCAGGAGCAGGAGGAGGAGAAGCGCAGCGGCGACCAGCAGGCAGCCCAGCCACACCAGGGCCCAGCGCCGGTGGACGTCTGCAGGCGCAGGGGGAGACGGGCCGGTTAGAAACCTCACGCCAGAGGAGGGCAGCGATTTCCCCCAAAGCCGCGGCTTAGCGCCGGTGTGCGGGTGACACACACTTTTTATTCAATTTCATTCCGTTTGGAAGGTTGAGAGACACTGTCCACCTGCTGGTTCACTCCCTAAACACCTGCAACCACCAGGGCTGGGCCAAGCCGAAACCAAGAGCCCAGAATTCAGTCTGGGTCTCCCACATGGGTGTCAGGGACCAAGTACTTGAGCCATCAGCTGCTGCCTCCCAGGGTGCTTGTAGCAGGAAAGTAGACCAGAAATGGAGAAGCAGGCGTTCAAACCGGGTACCCTCAGTAAGGATGCAGGTGCGCCCAGCCGTGCCCTAACACCGTGCCCTCTGGTGGATCGGAGCCCAAGGAGGGACAAGCCCAGTGCAAGTGCTGCCCCTGGCGGGGGGGGGGGGGGGGGCTGCCAGGAGTCCAGCGAGGATGGGCACTTCCTGTCATACTCACACTTGTCCATGGGGCAAGCCCAGAGCGCGCCTCGGTCGTCATCCCACAGCTGAAAGACACAAACAGGAGCCACTGCAGAGCCCCCAGCGGAGTGAGTGCCTGACACCCACCCGGCTGTGGCCCCGTCTGATCTGTGGGTTTCCCTCCTCCATGGCAGGACCCCCTGATCTGCTCTGCCTCTGCTTAGGCCAGCCCTGCAGCCTATGCTGCAACCTCCCCCGGGCCAGATGGGGCCCTAGGAAGAGGCCCTCGCTTGAAGCTGTCTCTGGAGGACAACCCTGGCGCCTGCAGTGTGGGTGTTCACTGGTGCTGAGCCACTGGGACAGAGATAACGCCTCTTCTACCCCTAGCTTCCTCGGGGCCAGACACAGGAGAGGCACAGATGCAGGCCAGGTGAGCGCCAGTCTGACCTGCTTGCTGCCCGCGGCCCGGGCCAGGGCTCTCCTGCCCCTGCTCACCTGCAGGCACTGGCCTGACTCCAGGTCCTGAAGTAAGTGTTCTCCAACACGAGCTGCCCTCTGTCAGGACCGGGGTGAGGGACAGGGCAAGGGGCAGCTGTCACCAGGGGCAGTACCCTGAGGACGCCACCAGGCTGCAGCTGGGCGGAGTGGGGGGCGTTGAGGGAAGCGGAGACTGGAGAACCCACCAGGACAGGGCCCAGCTCGGGGGCACCCCCAACTCCTCCCAGAGACCAGTGCGGGGCCTGGCACAAGGCAGGGCAGAACGGGATGGAGGGAAAACTTGGGGCCAGGCTTGGGCGGAGGTGGAGAGTCCCCAGGCCTCACCGTGGAGGCCCTGCTGGGCAGCGGGGTGCAGCCACTGTGTTCCAAGGCACACAGGGTCCTGTTGTGCCGGGGGCCTCGCGTCTCCACCAGCAGCATATCATCCCTGAGGGGCCCCAGGGTGTCTGGAAGGGGTGCAACGCCGCACTGAGCACGACCCCCCTTTGTCCCAGCAGTCACCCCGAAGCCAGCACCTCCAGGGGTCACCCGGCCCCACTCACCAGCCCACAAGCACTCTTGCAGCTGCAGCTTCTCCCAGCTGCTCACCTGCTCGGAGGGGCCAGGAGGAAAAGTCAAGGCCAGGATGACCAGGCGGGAGGAGGCCTCCCTGTCTCAACCTGGCCTCGTGAGGTCATCTGTGCTCGCGGCCTTGGACCCTCACGTTCCCGTCGCGTCCCACAAAGCAGGGTCACATTCCCTCTGGCCTGACCACCCCGCTGCTCCCTAACCCTGCGTTGTCCTAAACCTTGCGTGGACAACCGAGCAGCCCGTCCTACGGGGGAGGGAAAGCGGGCAATGACGGCAGCTAAACTGACCTAGGTTGACCTAGCACCTCCTCTGTGCAGGCCCCAGACATCGTCACACCACCCTAGGAACCAGCTGCTCTGTTCATGTGAGCCTGGCTTGCCCAGGGCCCTGCCCTGCTCAGGTAGGGATGAAACGCCCAAAGGAGACGCCCATCCCTGCTTCTCAGGGGGGCGGGCCCAAGAATAAGTGGGTCAAAAAACCTGTGCGTTGGTGCCCCCCTCCCGCGCCCAGGCCCCTCCTGACCTGGATGCAGAGGTTAGGGTGGCCCCTGAGTAGCGGGAACTCGTGGGCTTTCTGTGCAAAATGGAGAGAGGCTTGCAGTCACCAGGGGGCGCCCTGCCCCGTCCCGCCCCGCCCCGCCCGGCCGCCCGGCTTACGTTCACCGTGACGTTGTCCCGGGGCAGCGGCGGCGCGAGTGGCCGGCAGGGCCCCCCTCCCGGCGCCTGCCAGCACAGCGTGGCCTCGGCGGGCAGCGAGCAGGGCGCGTCCAGGCGCCAGCTGTGCGGGGGCAGCAGACGCGGCCGGGCGGCGCGCCAGAGGTTCCGGAGGGCGCGGGGGTCTGCGGGGACAGGGCGCAGTGACCACGGACCCCACACCCCGGCCGCGCCGCCCCCGCCCCCAAGCGGCCCACTCACCCTCCCGGAAGGGGCAGGTGCTCGTCCTGACCGAGTCGGGCTCCAAGGGCCACACCTGGAAGGGAAATGGCGATCGCTGGGGTCCGTTCGAGCCAGCCAACCCCTGAGCTTGGGCCGGGCCTTGCGCGGGGCCCTGTGCACACCCTGGGCCGGCCGAACCTTCACGAAGCTCTAGCGCTGCAGATAACCGCATTCACCAAATTCCCGATGCGGGCCGCCCACTACCGCTCTTAGCAGCCCGCGGGCAGGCACAGCTGCCTCACGCCCACCTACTGGGTGCTGTGCTAGGTGCGAAAGACACGCTCGTTTGTTCTTGTCAGATCTTTTAAGTGCACCTGCTAGGTGCTCTGTGCTCAGGATGGCAGAGGGTGCTTTAGCAGGTTCACGGAAAAATGAAACATTTTAGCTCACGAAAATTTTGAAGTTCAAAATACGCATTTTCCATGAACTTTTTGAAGGCTGTATTCATGGATTTCAAAAAATCTTACTTACACCAAAATCAACTTTTTTTTAAGCATAGCAGGCAAAGCGCCACATCACTGGTTCACCTCAGATGCCCACGATGGCCAGGGCTGGGTCAGGCTGGGCCGGGAGACGAGGGGTGTGGCAGGGGTCCAGCGACGCCAGCTGTCATCCTGCCTCCCACAGTCTGCATCTGTGGGGATCTGGAACTGGACCTGGAGGCGGGGACGGAACCCAGACACTCCAGGGTGGGAGGTGGGCTTCTTGACTCCCTAAACTTCTTCATTTCAAAGATGTATGTTATTGGGAGCGGCGCTGTGGTGTGGCAGGTAAAGCCACAGCCTGCGGTGCCGGTTTGAGTCCCGGCTGCTCCACTTCCGATCCAGCTCTCTGCGATGGCCTGGGAAAGCACTGGAAGATGGCCCAAGTCCTCGGGCCGCTGCACCGTGTGTGGGAGACCCACAAGAAGCTCCTGGCTCCTGGCTTGGGATCTGCCCAGCTCTGGCCGTGTGGACATCTGGAGCATGAACCAGCGGATGGAAGAGCTCTCTTCTCTCTGCCTCTGCCTCTCTGTAACTCTGCCTTTCAAATAAATAAATCTTTAAAAAAATACTTATTTGAAAGGCAGAGTTAGAGAGAGGTCTTCCATCCACTGATTCACTCTCCCAAATGGCCACAATAGGCGAGGGTGAGCGAGACAGGAGCCAGGAGCTTCTTCCTGGTCTCCCACATGGGTGTAGGGGCACAAGCATTTGGGCCATCCTCTGCTGCTTTCCTTTTTTTTTTTTTTTTTTTTTGACAGGCAGAGTGGACAGTGAGAGAGAGAGAGAGAGAGAGAGAGAGAGAAAGGTCTTCCTCTTGCCGTTGGTTCACCCTCCAATGGCCGCTGCGGCTGGCGCACCACGCTGATCCGATGGCAGGAGCCAGGTACTTCTCCTGGTCTCCCATGGGGTGCAGGGCCCCAGCACTTTGGCCATCGTCCACTGCACTCCCGGGCCACAGCAGAGAGCTGGCTCAGAAGAGGGGCAACCGGGACAGAATCCGGCACCCCGACCGGGACTAGAACCCGGTGTGCCGGCGCCGCAAGGCGGAGGATTAGCCTAGTGAGCTGCGGCGCCGGCCCATCCTCTGCTGCTTTCCCAAGTGCATCAAGTGGATCAGAAGTGGAGCAGCCAGGACATGAACCGGCACCCATGCAGGATGCCAGCCCTGCAGGTAGCGGCTTTACCCCCTATGCTGCAGTGCCAGCCCCTGAACTCCGTTTTCTTAAATGCTGTTTTCCATGAGCTTGGTGAGGCACCCCGTGTACCTGTCGTTAGGAGGCTGGCATCTGCCCGGGGGTAAGACACTGCCTGGATGCTCACATCCTGTTCGGCACACGGGCTCAGGTCCCGGCTCCCTCCAGGGGCAGCCTCCTGCTAGCAGTGCACCCTGGCAGGCGGCCGGATCCCTGCACCCACCAGGGGACCTGGGCTGGGTCCTTGGCTCTTGGCTCATCGGGGCCTCGCCCAGCTGTGACAGGCAGGTAGGCAGTGACTCAGTAGATCGAAGATGCTTCTTCCTCTCTCTGCCTCTCAGGTTTTTAGAACATGTATGAACCACTGACTTAAGAGCGCGTGGCAGTGCATGTGGGGAACAACTCGGACTAGACTAAGTTGCTGGAGTTGAGACTTATTCTATGCATCTGCTCTCCCACAATATGGCGCTGAGAAGGCAGTAACAGCTTCTACACAGCTGCCTCCAGTTCAACCAATAAACTGTAGGACCTGCTCCTGATTGGAGGAGAGCAGCGTACTCGGCGTGTGGGTAGCAGAGTTGGGATTGGTGGAAGAGGACTATAAAGGAGGAGAGAGACAACATGCACCAGGAACATCTATCTGAAGGAACACCTGTGCAGCCCCCGAGAGAGCCGGCCGGCAGTGTGCCGCTCCCCCGCGGAAGTGGGGAAAGTGGCAGGGGGAACCGCCCTTCCACGGAGGTGGAGGGACGGTAGCCAACCCGGGAAGAACCAGCAGCAAGCCCGGGAGGGCTGAGCAGACAAAAGAACAGCGCAGGGTTTAGTGTCGTTCCTCCATGAAGACGGGGAGCGACAAGTGCACACACAAATCCCAGCAGGAGCTTCCCGAGCGTCTGCTCCGTGTGCTGCACACGGTGCGACAAGAGAGCAGACACCGCGCAAGGCCCCGCTGTGTCACTACGCGGGAGCTGGATCTGATACACTCGCCTTCGGGAAAATCACAAACTCACAGCAAGAAGGCTGGGATATGCAAATAAATTAGTATCTCAGCCCTCCCTCCCGCTGACTGGTTATCGTGTCTGAGAGGAGAAGTCGGACAGACGCCTGGGTCTGAAACGAAGTGACAGACAGGTGCAGATGGGCAGCCGTGCGGGGACACGCAGCTCGGAGGGCCAGGCGGCTGGGGAGGGCTCCCGGCAAGCAGGTGCAGGATGGGGTTGGGCGGGCCAGGGGACAGGCAGAGCGGAGGCCCCCAGGGTGTCTTGGTGAACGGCTCTGCTGGCTGGGACGCAGGACAAGCACAGGAAGGGGAGTCAGCCGACTCAGAGGATGGGCTCGGAATGCCAGGGGGGCGTGGGAAGGGAGGTGGAGCTGGGGAGGCCAGGGAGACCCACTCCAGCCTGGGGCGGGGGCGGGGCGGGGCGGACGGACATCATTGACAGGAAAAAATGCGACCTGGTGGCTGATTACAGGTGCCATCAGAGGGACACTGAAGAGCCAACCTCCGGGCTGGCGCTGTGGCGTAGCAGGTAAAGCCACCACCTCTGGTGCCAGTGTCTCATATGGGTTTGAGTCCTGGCTGCTCCACTTCTGATCCAGCTCCCTGCTAATGCGCCTGGGAAAGCAGTGGAAGACGGCCCCAGGTCTGGGGCCCCTGCACCCATGTGGGTGACCCAGGAGAAGCTCCTGGCTGCTGTTTCAGACCAGCCCAGCTCTGGCCATTGTGGCCATTTGGAGAGTGAACCAGTGGATGGAAGACCTCTCTCCCTCTGTCTCTCTCCCTCTTTTTGTAACTCTACCTTTCAAGTAAAATAAACTCTTAAATGAGAGAGCCAGCCCCCTTCCGCCTGGACGTGGCACACTTCTCTGGCATGGCTAAAGGAGGCTGATGCTGTCATTATCCCAAGTTACGAACAGGAAGCAGAGCGGGAAGTGATCCGCCCAAAGTCAGGGGCACTGGCAAAAGCCAGGATTTGAATCATTCTGCGTCCACACCACAGGCCCCAGCCCCCCCCCCCGCCCCCGGGCGCACAAAGAGGGAGGCAGAGTAGGGGAGCACTTCCTGCAGGAGGTGACATCTGAACGCGGCCACAGGTGGCACGGCAGGGCGGGGGGGGGGGCAGGAAGACGACCCTGGGCCGTGACGGGCAGCAGCCACAGCCTCCGCCTCCGAGGGCAGCCTGGAGATGGCGAGGCCAGCTGCTGTCCGCTCCTACCTGGATGCAGAGGCAGGGGAGCAGGTCTGTGTGGTTCAGGGTGATGGTCTGCGGCCCAGTCTGTGGAGCAACCGGAAGGGGGAGTTGGAGGCGGAAAGGGGGAGGGAGAGCGGGGGCCAAAGCTGAGGGCACAGGCAGGCTCGGGCTGACCCGCTGGCTCCCCTGCTTTGGGGGTGTCCCGCGCAAGGGTCCCCTTTGGTCACGGGCACACATGCCTAGCACGGCATCGGAGAAGGGGGATGGGCACAGGCAGGGGAGGCCTCACCAGGTTTCTGTGCCACCAGGGCCTGGGGGCCCCGTGGGCCTGGCTCCGGTACAGGGCGAGGCCGAAGCGCTGCTCCTCGGGGACGTCCAGCACCAGGTGCACGAGGTCGCCCTCCGCAGACACGCTGAGCCAGGGCAGGGCTGGTGGGAGAGGGGAAGACGGCGGGCAGCTGCGACGTCTGGCCGCCCTCGCCAGCTTGGACTTTCCTTCCAAGCCTTAGCCTGTGTCCCCATCTGGGAGCAGACTCTCGCCAGCAGCTGGTCCATGTCTGAGCCTCAGGAGACTCCAGCCCGTGCTCTTGGCACAGTCCTCCTCCCTCATGGGAGTCCCAGGAGAAGCTACTGTCCTTGCAATAGCTTGGAGACCCCACTCGGCCTGGCTGCCACGGCCCCTCTAGCCTCACTTTGTGGCACCTGTGTCCTTACTCGGCTGTGGATGCACTTCTGCCCCAGGCCCTTTGCACTGCCTTTCCCCCCCGAGACTCCCTCACCTTCTTCAGGTCTTTGCTGCTTGGAGTGAAGCCGCCCCACCCCCCTCCCAGAGTTTCCTTCTGAGCGCCCATCACTTTCTTTTTTCTTTTTTTTTTTTTTTTTTTTGACAGGCAGAGTGGACAGTGAGAGAGAGAGACAGAGAGAAAGGTCTTCCTTTGCTGTTGGTTCACCCTCCAATGGCCGCCGCGGCCAGCGCACCGATGGCAGGAGCCAGGTGCTTCTCCTGGTCTCCCACGGGGTGCAGGGCCCAAGCACTTGGGCCATCCTCCACTGCCTTCCCGGGCCACAGCAGAGAGCTGGCCTGGAAGAGGGGCAACCGGGACAGAATCCGGCACCCCGACCGGGACTAGAACCTGGGGTGCAGGCGCCTCAAGGCGGAGGATTATCCTAGTGAGCCACGGCGCCGGCTGCGCCCATCACTTTCTAACTCATGTTGTCCTGGCCACCTGGCCGGGAGCGGGGGCTGTGGATTTACTTTGCCCGTCCAGGGCTGTGCCTGGTGTGGAATGAGGGGCTCGCTGTGCACTGAGTGACTGAAGAGAAAGGCGCTGCCGCCCTGTGTCTACATTCACAGCTCAGGCTGAGCAGGCCTCCACAGACCACCCACACCAGCCATGTCCAAGTTTAAGGAACCAAAGGAAAACGAGGCTGGAAAACGAGGCCACAGCAGAGAGCTGGACTGGAAGAGGGGCAACCGGGACAGAATCCAGCGCCCCGATTGGGACTAGAACCCGGGGTGCTGGCGTCACAGGTGGAGGATTAGCCTATTGAGCCGCAGCGCCGGCCGCATCTTCTTTGTTTAAGTTTATTTGAGAGACAGAATGTCAGAGGGAGGGAGCAAAGGACATAGAGAGGGAGTGGTCCTCCATCTGCAGGTTCACGCCTCAAACACCAGCTGGGGCTGGGGCTGGGGCTGGGCCGGGCTCGAGCAGGAGCCCAGGCCCTCACGCAGGTCTTCCACCCTGGGGGCAGGGACCCAGGTACTTGGCCATCATCTGCTGCCTCCCAGGAAGCAGGGCAGCTGGGACTGGAACTGGGCGCTCTGATACGGGACGCTGGTGCCACCAGCAGCAACTTAAGCCACAGCTCCACCACGCCTGCCCCCAGTGTGTGTATCCTGATCCGAGCGCCGGTTACACAAGTGTGTACTAAAACTAATGGGACTGGACGTTTAAATTAGGGCACGTTGTACATCCTTACGTATGTATGTTGTACACAAAAAAAGAAAATACAAAATAAAAAGTGAACAAAAAATGTAAATAACACATGGGAGAAATCTCTTTCTTGTCCTTTTTCAGTTTCAGTATTATTTTACTTTGGCACACGGAGGGGCACCGAAACGCTGACCATGCTTTGGGCCGCTAAGTTCCTAATACAGGGAACCGTGTGTTCTACGGAGAGGAGGCGTGCATTTGCTCAGGGGTTAACTCACTGCGTGGGACACCCACGTCCCAGGTGGCAGTGACTGGTTCGAGTGACAGCTACTCTGCCTCCAGTCCAGCTTCCCAGGAGGCCGCAGGTGATGCTGGGCCCCTGGTCCTCAGGGGAGACCTGGATCGAGTTCCTAACTCTTGGCTTCAGCCTGGACCAGCCCCCACTGCTGCAGGCATTTAGGAAGTAAACCAGTGGACGGAAGCGCTTTCTGTCTTTCAAGTAGAGTGAAAACAAATAATTTTTTTGACAGGCAGAGTGGACAGTGAGAGAGACAGAGAGAAAGGTCTTCCTTTGCCGTTGGTTCACCCTCCACTGGCCGCTGCGGCCGGCGCACCGCGCTGATCCGATTGCAGGAGCCAGGTACTTATCCTGGTCTCCCATGGGGTGCAGGGCCCAAGCACCTGGGCCATCCTCCACTGCACTCCCGGGCCACAGCAGAGAGCTGGCCTGGAAGAGGGGCAACCGGGACAGAATCCGGCGCCCCAACCGGGACTAGAACCCGGTGTGCCAGCGCCACAGGCAGAGGATTAGCCCAGTGAGCTGCGGCGCCGGCTGAAAACAAATAATTTTTTTAAAAGCTCATGGGAATTAAATTTAAATTTAAAAGATAGTCTATTTTTAAAAGACCAGAAGGACTGATGGATCTTCTTCATGGCCATCGTGCCAGCACAGAGCTGCAGCCAGTGCTGGCCGTGTGCTAGGAGTGGACAGAGGGATGAGTGACCCTTGCAGCCCCCACCGGAAGCCAACTCCAGCCTCCCCCTCCCCCGGCCTGACCCGGCCCCTACCCCAGCAGCTCTGGATGCTGTCCTGGACTTCCAGCCCCTTGCAGTCTGGGGAGAGATCACAGAAAAGCCTCCAGTGGGGCTGGGGGCTGGGGAGAGAGAGGGGCAGCCCGACCCATGGAGGCCTTGGGACGGCTCCCGGCTCCTAACCCCACCCCCTCTCCCAGGAGTGAGGACCTTCCCTGGAGGCTGCAACGTCAGGGTATCTGGCGGGACTGAGTTTGGAGGGAAGTGGGCTAGGGAGAAGGGGACAGCAGGCGGGGCTGGCCGGGGGGACGGGGACCAGGCCAGGCCGTGTAGCCTGCGGCGGGCCACTCACCAGGCAGCAGCTGTGTCACGTTGAGCTCCTTCTGGTACCTGGGCTGAGTGTAGGACCAGAGTCGCACCTCAGCCCCCAGGGCCGCCTCGAAGCAATCGAAAACCACTGAGCCCTGGGGGGAGGGTGGGGGAGGGCTCAGAGTCCAGGCCCCGGCTGTGAGCTCCTCGGGCTTGGGGGGCTCTGCGCACTGCCCTCGCACAGCCAGTGACCCTGCTTACACTGAGCCTGAAATCCCCCAGATCTAAAGTCGCTGGGCCCTGGAGGAGAGAGCCCTGGCTCTCCAAGTCCCCGCGTCCTCCCCAGCCGTCCTGGGTGGACTGCAGTGCGACCCCAGCACAAACACAGACGCCCCTCCCCACACCAGCACTGCCCAGTGAGGTGGGCCAGCCAGGCTACCTGCTAGACCAGAGGACGCTGGCTGGGGGCGGGCGGGCGAGCGAAAGGCCCTCCTGGGTCGGGGAGGGAACGCCCAGCACCCTGCACCAGGTGCACACGCCTGCTCCCGGGGTCAGCCCCAGACCACCCCTGCCCAAGCCTCGGCTTCTCTGTCTGGAAAGTGGGGGTGGGAAGGGCGGAGTTCGAGGGTGGTTGAGGGAGGAGAAATGGCACTGATGGACCCCTGCAGGGCCCGGCATCACCTCACGGGCTTCACACACTACCAGCCTAGTCCACTCTCTCACCAGCCGATGAGGTATTTCAAATGTAAGGAAAAAGCTACATTTTTAACTTTGAGAGACAGTTTATAAGGAAGATACACAAATAGCCAATAAGCATGTAACAAGGGGCTTGGCTTCCTCAGTCACCAGAGAGGCACAAATTAAAACCACAATGCCACACCACCACACACACAGCAGATCGGCGAACATTTTACACGGCAACACCAAGTGCAGGCACAGATGGGAAGTAACTGGCGCTTCCACTTCAGACCAAACAGCACAGCCAACCTGGAAAATTGCTTGGGGGTCTCACAAACTGAAAATCGGGGAGGGTACTGTCCGTATCCCCATTTCACAGGCAGAAAAACTGAGGCAGAAAGGGCAGAAAGGACTTGCCCTAAGCTCCGATCAGAACCAGGGCTGAAGGAGAGCCTGCCTTCGTAGGAAAGCATGTCTCCACGCCGGGGGTGGGAGGGGCCGCTGTTTTGCGTACCGCAGAGGGGCCGGGCCGCGCCAGGGCAGCAGGCACTTGTACTTCCAGCAGCACGCAGCGCGTTGTACGGTAGGCCTGGAAGGACAGCACGACGCGGGCCTGGAGAGCGGCTGTGAGCGACAGGGCAGGGGTCAGTGCGGGCCGGCGGGCAGGGGGCCGGTGGGCCAGCCGGGCCATCCTCACCGTTCCGAGAGTCCTCAAGCTCAGGGCTGGCTGCTGCTCCAAACTGCTCCTCCTCCTCTTCACGCTCTTCCCAGGGCCCTACAAGGACCCAGGAGCAGAGCCCAGGTCAGGCCCCCGCCCCGGGACGGCTTCCAGGCCTACATCCTTTAGAACACACGGTGCCCCGCGCTGCCCGGCGGGTTCCTGCCCCGCCCCTGCACTCGCTCTAAATTGTCTCCCGCCTGCACACACACAAGTGGCTCGCTCACCGCGCACGGCCAGGTGGACAGCCACACGCACACAGAGGTCACAGTCGGTCTCCTGGCGGCACCGCAGCACCAGCTCCGTCTGCAGGCGCGCAGGCACCAGCACGGGGCCCGGGGCGGACACCACGCTCCCAGGCAGGCACAGCACGTCGCCGTCTGTGTGGGGGTGGGGGAGGGCGGGAGTTGCTCACAACCCAGAGTCTGCACAGGACACCCCCGAGGGTGAGGCGCCTGGCTCTTCCTGGCCCGGGCGGCCCCCTCCCCGGCGCCCACTCGGTAAGCTGTCTTCTCTCCAGGGGCGGATACTCACCCCAGAGGTGGCAGGAGAGGCCCTGGGGAGGAGGTGCACAATTAGGGTTCACGCCCCCAGCCCGAGCAGCTTTCCCTGCCCACCTCTCTCGGGGACTCCCTACCCCACGCCCCACCCAGGAGCAGGCCCAGCTCCTGCCCTCTGCCGGCTCCTCTTCCCCCGTCAGCACCAGACAGACCAGCCGGGGCAGTTCTGGCAGTGACAGGAGCCAGCCTAGGGCTCCGATGGGCCGCAGACTGAACCCTGAGCCTCGCTCAACCCTCCCGGGGCCCCAGACTCACCGGAGAGCAGCGGGCGGTGTCCTGCAGCCCTATAAGCCTCTCCAGAGAGAGGACCCCGGGACTTCGGCCCAAAGCCAAGGACAGCAGGAACCAGGGCATGGGCATCTTCCAGGTGCCTGGTGGCACTCAGGCCTCAGGCCCTGTCCTGCCCCCCCCCCAGCCCCTGCCCCCACTGAGTCCTCCACCGTCAGGGGTCAGCAGGGACCAGACTCACTCCCCAGCCTCGGGGACCAGCCCTGGACAGCTCGTGTACTCCCTCTCCTGGGGTCGGCTCCCGACGTCCTGGCTCAGCCCGAGTGCTTTCGATTTGGCTCCCAGCAGGCAGGCGGCTGTTCCCGCCCCGCCCTGTCCCTCCCACCAGCGCCAGGCCTGGGAGCCAGCAGTCTTGGGCTGGGAGGCTGGCCTCTCCTCCCCTTCCTCTGCGGATACCTGGCCATGGTGGTGGTGGTGGGGACCCTGAAGAGGGGCAGCGGTGGCACCAGAGCTGAGGCTGGGGCATTTCTATTCTCCAAGGGAGCCCCCCCCCGCCAGCCCTGGGACCCCCTCTTACTGGGCCCTTGGGCCCCTTCACACACTCCCCTGGCTGCAGTGACGCTTGGTGGGTCAGGGGCTCTGAGGGCAGGGCTGAAGGGCACCAGAAAGGGGGCTTGCAGGCGAGGATCCCGGGCCCACAGCCAGGCAGCCAGGGTCCCCTCGTGCTGAGACGACGGATGCTGCTTCCCCTCTTCTGGGGAAGCCCTGCCTTGTGGAGGTGACAGGTGCATGTGGCTGGGCACGTGACACAGTGCGACCCCGCCCACCCCCAACACAGCGTCCCACAGCGGAAAACGGGACAAGTACATGGTGTAGCTCGGCTTGTCATGTCCGTGTTTATTTTTCTCTGGGTCTCCTGGCCACCCAGGGCTGAGCCTCTTCTGGGACCAGAGCTCCCTCCCCACTCAGAGCCTACAGCATTTGCGGCTCGCACTCCCTAGGGGCTAGGAGAGAGGACGAGGGTCCGCCGGGGCTCTCAGTAAAGGGCCGGCCTCTCCCTAGGGACGGTGACTGCCAGGCTGTGGAGGACAGGCTGGGATGCCTGCCCGCGAGGCAGATAAAGGCTTTTCCGCAGGTAGTCCTGAGGTAGCACCCCAGAGGTTCCAGGGCCCAAGGAGGTTCTGGCCCGCACCCGTCCCCCGCACCGCCCGCCTCCGGACAGGAGTGGAGCTGTCAGACGTGGCCGGCAACCGTGGCAGCCTCGCGTTCCAGCCGGCGGCAAAGTTCCAGGCGGCCCCGCAAGCCCTGCCGAGCTCCGAGGCAGTCCGGGCCCGCGGCTACGGTACCGGTACCGGGGCGCGCGCCCAGAGCCCGCAGCAGGCGCGGCAGGTCGCGCAACAGGCGGTAGCGCGGCAGCACGCGCAGCGGCCGAGGGATGTCGCCCTTGGCGCAGAGGCGGCTGAAGTACGCGAGCAGCAGCAGCGGGCGGGGCGCGGCGCCGAGCAGGGCGTGCAGGGGCGCGGTGCAGGGGTCGGAGCCGCCGGCAGGGCCCCACAGCAGCAGCACCGTGCCCCGCTCCCGCAGCACGCGCGCTTGCGCTGCCCACAGCCACGGCAGAGGGCCCACGTGCGCCACGCGCGTCCCCTCCCACAAGTCCACGATCACATCCCGGCCGCCGCCCAGCGCCGTCCGCAGCAGTTCAGCCAGCGCTCCCACGAGGCGCCGCTGCTCCTGGGACTCCGCCACGTGCAGGAGCAGCACCGGCCGTGCTGGGCCTGGGCCTGGGGGTGGGAGCAACAGCTGAACAGAATGGGAGGCAGCCTGCTGCCCCGCCCCCTGCCCCTCTCCTGCCCTCGGGGGTCAGCACCCACAGCAGCCAGGGACGCGTGAGCCAGGCCGACAAAAGGCACCCCTTCCAGAGTGAAGGCCGAGGTGCCAGGTTTGGCAACGGCAACGCAGGCTGGACGTCCACCCACTGGCCTCTTGCCCAGTGCCTTGGTGCAGAGAGGGCCCTTGTCCTGCCTTAGCCATTCCGGCCCACCAGGAGACCCTAGGCTCACTCCCTTGGATGGCACAGACTGGGAGTCCAGGGAGCCGGAGGGGGCAACAAGACTGGGCGGGTCTGGATCCAAAGGTCACCCTCACTGAGTTTACCTGACAGTGGGTGGCAGCAGGTGAGGACCAGGACCACGCCCAGTAGGGTGGCGAGGGCCAGCAGAGCCAGGATCAAGAGCCCCAGGCGTCTGTGAGAGACTGAGTCCGGCGGGGTGCGGGGTGAGGCCGTGCCCAGCTCCTCAGGCCCACCTCCCTCTTGCACCCGCTCCCTTCCAGCCAGGAACTCACCATCTGGACACAAGAGGCGCTTCGAGGCAAACTGGACATCTGACCTCCATACCTGAGGGCGAAGGGCCAACCCTGTGAGCCAGGCCAGCCCCTCCTCCCAGGGCGAGATGAAGGAGACATGGAGGGTGGAGAAGCGGGTCCCCACTGGCTTGGAACTCCTGCAGCTCAGGCTGGGTCTGGTCTACCTGCCCACCCGCCACAAAACAAAGGTCAAAGGTGGCAACTCAAGCGTGACTGTGGCCAGACTCAAGAAATCAACTCATAAGTTGCCTGGGGCTGCTGTGAGGGCCTGGAGAGTGTGGCCAAGCTGAGTGACCACAGAGCACTGGGCTTCAGGCCATGTAACTGTGTCAGAGTGTAGACACAGGGCACTAGGCTTTCTGCTTTTCCAAGAGAGGCCAGGAATCCAGTTTTTAAAAAAACATACATAGAGGGGCCAGCACTGTGGCGCAGCAGGTTAATGCCCTGGCCTTGAAGTGCCAGCATCCCATTTGGGCACCAGTTCTAGTCCCGACTGTTCCTCTTCCTATCCAGCTCTCTGCTATGGCCTGGGAAGGCAGTAGAAGATGGCCCAAATCCTTGGGCCCCTGTACTCGTATGGGAAACCCGAAAGAAGCTCCTGGCTCCTGGCTTCAGATTGGCCTAGCTCCAGCTGTCATGGCTATTTGGGGAGGGTCCAGCAGATGGAAGATTTCTCTCTTTCTCCTTCTCTCTCTGTAACTCTGCCTTTCAAATAAATCAATCAATCTAAAAAAAAAAAAAAACACATAGATGGTGGCAACTTATTCCACTTAAAAACACTGCTATGCTGACCAAACCTAACATTTTGGAGCCCAGATTTTCCGCCCATCACCTGTGAAGTACAAGCAGAGGGAGGGGGGGTTCCTTACCAGGACACAGCCCCCCGGCCTCAGGAAGGGAATAACGAGGTCCAGTGTCACTGGGCCTGAGCCCTGGGTCTGTAGGAGCAAAGAACAGAATGACTGTCCCCCAGCAGGCAAATCCGGCTGTGCCCATGCTGTCCCCACTCATCCCACCCGGGCTTCAGGCCAAGTGCCACCTCCCACAAGACGTCCAGACCACTCCAGGGCCCCTACGCGTCCCTGGACCTCTCGTCAACAGACTCAGAGCCCACTGGGTGCCACGCCCCGGGACACTGTCCCTGTCGTCCCGCAGCCTGTAAACCAGGCAGGCTTCTCACGCTGCCTTCACCAGGAAGAGGTGTCTCCACACCCAGAAAGTGCAGGAGTCCAGAGGAAGGAGGCCCGGGCTTAGCTACTGCCTCTGGGGTCCCTGGCTGTGTGCTCATGGCACGCAGTCGCCTCTCTGCCCTGACCCTCCGCGAGATCACCGTCTATAGCCGCCTGGGTGACTGAGAGGCACAGGGGGGCCTGTGCAGGTGGGTGGTCTCTCCAGTAACTCGCAGCGAACTGGAGCAGCAGTGGTAGCTGTCAGTGGACCAGGAGCTCCACATGAGCCGAGTCTGTTACACATGCGTCTTGTGTCTCCCAGGACCTACCACGGGGTGGGCACGGCATGCCACACTGGACGGAAGGGATCGCCGTCTGTCCACACGCAGGGTGTGGCTCCACCCCGGGTTGTGGAGGTGACCACAACCTCTGTCCCAGGGGTACGCCCTGTACCGCCTGCCCCACCCGTCTCAGACGCCAGTCTCTAGCCAGCCAGTGCACAGACACGGACAGAGCGGCCTCCCCTCACAGCTGAACTCAGAGCACAGAATGAGACACAGAGTGAGTCAGGGATTTGGCCCTCAGTTTTAGGCCATCACACATGACTGTGTCTTAAACCCCAAGTGTGACTAAGTCTTAAGTCTGGCTTGGTCTTAAATCTTAAAGTGTTTGCTACCCCCTGCCTGGCTCTGGGGCATCACAAGATGCAAGCAAATAAAGGGAGAAGCGGAAAGAGCCAATCACGCTTCCTCAGCCTGCCGCTGCGGCTTCGTGGGTGCACTTGACTGTGACTTCTGTACTGGAGACCAGAGCAAGCCCGCAGTCACGCTGTCTGAGTGCACGGAAGAGAGCTAAGTATGTGTGCAGGTGCCAGGGCTCTGCCTCCTGGGGTGCCTCCAGAGGCCGGCGAGCTCTGGCAGAGGACGGCTGGGGCCAAGAGAAGGCACCGACACCCCTCGCGACAGCAGCGCGGGCAGGCGTGAGAACAGCTACCTGCGGGGTGGGGGCAGGAGCCTCAGGACAGGAGCCAGCTGAAGCAGCAGAGAAGCGAGCCAGGTGCTCGGGGCCAGGGGTGTGCCTGCCCACCGGGCTCAGCGTCTGTCTCCCTGACCTGCTGAGACCGGGGCCGGTGCTCTGAGCGACAGACGCAGTGGGGCCCACCTCCAGGGCGCCCATACCTGGCTGACACTGTACACGGGGGATGTCAAGGGGTCGTGCCCCAAGCCTGGGTGGCTCCAGGCAGCACTGAAGGTGGCCTGCACCGTCGAGGAGAAGTGAAGGATCAGCTGCCGGGCCCGGGTATCCATGCTCACGTTCCAGGATGTGCAAGCCCCTGCTGCGGGAGGTGACAGGAGCTGGGCGGCAGCTGCCACGGAAGGCGTGGCTGGGCCACGGTTGGGGGAGGGCGAGATGAGGGGCAGGGGCCCCAGTCAAGGTCATTTCTGGGCTCACCAGTCTGGTGGGGACATTCCACATGGCTGCTGTTTCCCACGGAGAACTAAGAAACACAGGAATGCAAGTGGGCTCCAGGCACCAGCCACTGTCCCCGCCAGCCCTCTGGCCCACGGCCGTACCTTGAAGCAGAGCTGAGGGTGTAAGTCCACCTTGTCCAAAATATACCACTGTGGGGAGAGAGCAGGCAGGCAGGCAGAAGGCCCTGGGCCCCGGTCCTGCCCACCACCGGCCCTTGTGGGGGAGGGGCAGGGAAGGTCTGTCCTCACCCCCTCTGACTCTCGAGCTGTGGCATTGGGGACGTCCTCGCAGAGGGTGTGCCCCTCTTGCTTCTGACACAGGGAGGCCTCCAGCCTCAGCGGACAGCGGAGGGTCAGGGCCATGGCCATCTGATCGCGCTGGCTATAGTCGCTGAAGTGTACCGACTTCCAGAAGTCTGAGCCATCTGGGCAGGCAGCAGGGTCGAGAGGTGGGGCCCCAGCCCTGCCACGTCCACCCCCACCCCCACCCCCCAGGCGCCAGGAGCCGCTGCGCCCAGCAGGGCTCCCACCCTCCCATCCCCATCTCAACCTTTCTCCCCGGCGGCCTCTGCCTCCCCGGCGGCGCCCGGCCGGCTCCTTGCGGCGCCGACTCATTCTGCTCGGGCCGCTCTCATAACCACACCTGCCTGTGCTCTCATCTCTGCTTTCTAAACCTTGCCCATTTCTGACCCAGCTCAGGGGCCAGCTCCCCCGAGACCTGCTCTGCTCCTGACGGCCATTCTGGGCCCCTCCCGGTCCTGACTTCACACCCCATGGCCTGCTCCTTAACTGGAACTGGCCGTGTGTGTGCCGTTGCTTCCGCGTGCTACCCATGCTGTCGGGGACAACGAGGTGCGCACGGCATGGCAGATGCCCCCACTTCCACACCTAAGCTTATTTCAAGCCCCACAGACTGCTGGGAAGCAGGGCAGGCCACGTCTTTTACAGACAAAGTGAAGCTCAGAGCGGAGAGAGTGACAGAGCTGGAGTGGACGCGGCCTCCGGGCCTCATCTCCTGGCCCCTCACTGATGCCAGTACTGACTCACTGGCAGGCACAGCAGCCCGTTCCCCCTGCCTTCCTCCAGCACAGGTGTGGGGGCACGTGAGAGGGGGCCCGTGTGCGCCCACAGGGAGCGTGTGGACAGCACTCACAGGCTTCGGGCCAGCTCTGGAAGGGACACTTCTTGCGCCTCACGGTGTCCTCTTGCAGGTGGAATGCCTGGGGGGACAGGGGTGGGGGCGCGCGTCAGAGCACGGCCTTTCCTTTCTCACTCACACCTCAAACTGGCTGGCTGGACCTGACAGTGGTGAGGCTGCCTGAGCCGGCAGGGCACCGGGCAGGGGAGCAACGGGGGCGGGGGGAGAGGGGGAGGAAATCCAGGGCACAGGACAGAGACCGGCTGACACCTCTTCTCCCCGGAGACGCCCAGTCCCTGTGCTGGCCACCCTGGCAGTTGCCAGCTGCTCTAGGTCTGTCTGCATCTGCCTTCCACCTCCCAAGGGACAGGCTCCCAGCCCTTGCTGTGTGCCCCGAAGAAGCCCTTACGCATCGCCTCGTCCTCAGCAGAGAAGGAGGCCCACCACGGAGGCCCAGCGGAGCTGAGCTGCTGGGGGCTACGGCGGCTGCAGGCCCACCAGCCCCCGCCGTGACCACAACATAGCAAGGGCAGCTGTCCATCCTGGAGCACAGCAAGGGTGCGGCTGAGCTTGGGCGCCCTCAGGAAGCTCCTTTCTCCTCGGACCCAGCGGGTGGCCTGCAGCCGCGCTGGCACCAGTCTTCCTCAGCAACTCAAACACCCGGCCCTCCTCCAACCTGACTGGCTAGCGACCAGCTAGATCGGCTGCGCTGCCTGGGGGCCTCCCCAGCGCTGGGGGCAGCCGCACCTTCTCCTCTGCTTACCTCTATGCACAGGCAGGGCAGGAGGAATTCGTACGGCAGGTCAGCAGTGTGGCCCCCAGACACGATTTTCTGTGGATACAGCAGCAAAGGGGAGGGAGGAGTGGGCGGAGACGGCACAGGCGCCTGGGGCGGGAAGTGGGGCTGGGACCTGGGCCACCACGTGGGACTTTTCCATCTTAAGCCCTAAGATGAGAAATGCGCTCTCACAGGGCCTCTGCCCTGGGGAATCCAGGGGGAGCCGGAGGAGAAGACAAGGAAAGACACACACGTTTACTGAGCCCCTAGCGTGTGCCAGGCAGCTGGCAGGTGCTGGAGCTCCATTAATTCACGCGGTGACCCTGCGGGTGCGTGGGGCTCAGGGCGGCGGCAGCCCTGCGTGGCACCACGGCACCTGGAGGTGCAGGCGGCTGCTCGGGCCTGGGCTGGGCGGACGCGGGACACCTCATTCTCTGGGGGACAAGAACAGAGCGGCAGACAGGAGGCGCCCGGACCCATCTGGCTGCCTGCTCCGTCCTCGGACACTGAGAAGCTCTCAATGGGAATCCACCGAGGGGCCGCTGCCCCGCGCACTGCTCTGCTCCTCGCTCCTGCTGCTCCACCGCCCGCCTGGCCCTCGGCCCCCACGGTTCTAGCCAAAGCCCTCCCCAGCACCTCAGCTGGTAAGGACACACGGACAGGCCTTCCCCCTCGCCTCAGCCCCCATCTCAGCAACGGGAGGCCTGCTGGCTCCAGCACAGGCAACGTGGTTCTTCATTAGAGGACAACACTCCCACCTGGGCATCGAAGGGGCTGCTCGGCTCTTCACATTCCAGTGCCCACTGATGACAAAGACGCAGATGGACCTCGGGGCCTGGCGGAACGGTCGCCCGAATCACCCGAGCCTCAGGCAGCAGCTCGAAGGAGAAGTCAGGCCCTGAGGAGACGCCTCGGTGGTCTCGCTCCGCCTCCCACAGGCAGCGCCCCTCAGCTGAACCGTCTCCCCTCGTGCCCCCCCGCCTACCTCCACGCCTCTGCGAGCCCAGGCCGGGGCCACGTGCTGCTGAGAATGGGTCCCAAGGCTGGGTCCTTTTGGAGCGCAGCCCCCTGGGGCAGGTGTCCGGGCAGGGCACGGAAACGTGACGGCCCTTCCCAGACAGGCAACGGCGACCTAGGAGCTTCCTCTGCGGGCAGAGAGCACAGTGGGCCGCGGGCTGGGAAGCAGGGGGTTCGGGGCCTGTTTCCTCCTCTGGAGCCTGAGGAACCACGGGTACGCCGCTCGACCTCTTCTGCCTCAGTTTCCCTGACTGTGTAACGGATGCCACCGTCCTCTCCACACTTCCCCCCGCCCTCACAGAGCAGGAGGGCTGCGGGGACGCGACAGGGACAGGCACAGAAGGCCAAGGACCATACCTGAGCAGGCGCCGGCATCCTGGGTCTCCTACAGAACCTGAACGTGTAAGACTTCCTGGATTTCCACGCGGAGAGGCAGAAGCAGCCCCTCTGAAGGCCTGCACAGGACAGGGGACGCTCGTCACTCAGCCCTTCGTTGCCCCTCCCCCACCTGGAGGTGTGGGGCCAGTGGGAGATAGTAGGTCATTTCTTCTCAGCAATGTCTGAGTTCTTTGAAAGGCAGAGTGACAGCAGAGAAAGACAGGGACAGACAGAGGAGAGAGACGGAGGGAGAAAGGGTTCGCCCACCTGCTCGTTCTCTCGGCCAAGGCCCACAGCACTCATGGCTGGGTTCAGGCCAAAGCCAGCTTGGAACTCCATCCAGGTCCCCCACCTGGGCGGCAGGGACTCAAGTCCTCGAGCCACCATCTGAAGCCTCCTCGGTTGCACATCAGGAGGAAGCTGGGGCAGGCATGGGGGAGGGACTCAAAGCCACGCTCTCCAACGTGCAGCCAGGTGTCCCCAGCTACACCCAGCGCCCGCCCCGGTCAGCACTGCTACCCACAAGGAAAACGACGCCAAGCTACCGCAGTCCTGGAAACTGGGATGTGGTGAAAAAGATTGGTTAATTTATTTTAAACATCTATGTTTGTTTCAAAGGCAAAACAAGAGAGACAGGGAGAGAAACAAAGAGGGAGAGAGAGTTTCCACCTGCTGATTCCTTCCCCAAATGGCTGCAACAGCCAGGTCTAAACCAGGCTGAAGCCAGAAGCCCAGAGCTCCATCCGGGTCTCCCACGGGGACAGAAGGAGCCCGAGCACTTGGGCAGTCGTGGGCTGCCTTCCCCAGGCCGTGAGCAGGGGGCTGACGGGAAGCAGGGCAGCAGTGGCAGTCCCGTCATCAGTGGTGCCTTGACCTGCTGGCTGGACCATCAGCCCTGAGTCACTCACTGCTTTAGAAAAGGCTGCATCACAGGGGCCGGTGCCAGGCCGCAGCAGGCTACTCCTCCGCCCGCAGGCCAGCATGGGGGCGCCGGTTCTAGTCCCGGCTGCTCCTCTTCCCATCCAGCTCTCTGCTGTGGCCTGGGAAAGCAACAGAAGATGGCCCAAGTGCTTGGGCCCCTGCACCCTCATGGGAGATCGGGAAGAAGCTCCTGGCTCCGTTGCGGCCATCTGGGGAGTGAACCAACGGAAGGAAGGCCTTTCTCTCTGCCTCTTCCTCTCACTGTCTTACTCTACCTCTCAAATAAATAAATAAAAATCTTTTTAAAAAGAAAAAAGAAAGAAAAAGCTGCATTACAAAGATTCTCATCCTTGTGTTAATTCTAACAATGGAAAATTAGAAACGGCCAATTCTTAGGCATTTACTAGGCACCAGGTGCGGAGTTAGGCAATAAACAGAGAGGGCTGAAAAGGCAGGGAGACCCTGGAGGGGGTGTCTGGCACAGCAGTCAAGACGCTGCCTGGGACCCCTGACTCAATACAGCAGTGCCCGGTCGAGTCCCAGCTCCTGTCCTGCTAGTGGGCACTTTGGGAGGCCACAGGTGTTGGCTCAGGCAGTGAGGTGACTGCCACCCATGCGGCAGACTGGGCTGGAGTTCTGAACCTGCCCAGTCCCAGCTGTCACGGGCACTGGGGAACGAACCAGATGGGAGATCTGTCTCTTTTGCTTTCTTTTTTTTTTTTTTTAATTTAATTTTTTTTTTTTTTAATTTTTTGACAGGCAGAGTGGACAGTGAGAGAGAGAGAGACAGAGAGAAAGGTCTTCCTTTGTTGTTGGTTCACCCTCCAATGGCCGCCGCGGCCAGCGCACTGCGCTGATCCGATGGCAGGAGCCAGGTGCTTTTCCTGGTCTCCCATGGGGTGCAGGGCCCAAGCACCTGGGCCATCCTCCACTGCACTCCCTGGCCACAGCAGAGAGCTGGCCTGGAAGAGGGGCAACCGGGACAGAATCCGGTGCCCCGACCGGGACTAGAACCCAGTGTGCCGGCACCGCTAGGCGGAGGATTAGCCTAGTGAGCCGCGGCGCCGGCACCTCTTTCGCTTTCAAACAAATAAATAACTTTAAAGATTTATTTATTTTATGTGAAATAGTTAAAGAGAGACAAAGAGGTCTTCCATGTGCTGGTTCACTCCCAGATGGCCGCAATGGCCAGGGCTGAGCCAGGCTGCAACCAGGAGCTGGGGGTCCACCCAGCTCTCTCACATGAGTGGCAGGGACCCAAACACGTGGACCATCTTCTGTTATTTTCCGAGGCCATCAGCAGGGAACTGGGCAGGAAGTGGAGCAGCCAGGACTCGAACCAGCACCCAAACGGGATGCTGGTGTTGCAGGCGGTGGCTTAACCTGCTATGCACAACACTAGTCCCAATAAATATATATTTTAAAGAGATACCACTCTGCTACTGAGCACCTGTGTTGAAATCCCGACTCAGGCTCCTGATTCTCGCTTCCTGCTAACGCAGACCCTGGGAGGCAGCGGGTGGCGGCTTGGTTGGTTCCCTGCCCTACCCACGTGGGATACTGATCACTGGCTCCTGGTTCCGGCCTCGGTCTAGCTCCAGCTGTTGTGCGCACTGGGGGGATGAACCACTGGATGACAGCACGCGTGAGCTCCCTCTGTCCCTCCCTCCCTTTCTCTGTTTCAAATAATTATTTTAAAGAACATACAACCGCACTCGTGAGGCCAGTCCTGCTGTAGAATTCAGGATGCTCTAAGCCCCTGACGGGTGGAGAACAGAACCAGCACTGCTCTGGGCCGGCTCGTCCGAGCCTAGCTGCCCTCCTCACGTGTCCCTAAGCTGCGGCTCCCTGAAAAGAGCCCCAAGGGCTGTTTCTCAAACCTGAGGCATCTGACGCCACACGCAGGTGCCAGACCGGAACGAGCCGGAGCCTTCCGGGGAGCAGCGCCAACAGGGTACTGCAGGGTGCACAGGCAGGGCTTCCTGGGAAAGACGGACGAGGTCAAGGGGCAGGGGCTGCAGAGGCCCCTCCTGCTCCAGACAGACTGCGCCACCTGCACCTGGAAGTGTGGCCCCGGGCAGAGAGGAAGCTTCTTCAAGTGTCAGAGTCCCAAGAAACACACTGGGTCTGCTGTAATGACCGAATACGACCGCACGCGGAAAACGCCCAGCAGAGCACCACTGCTGGGTACTGCAGGACTGCAGGAGCGAGGCCTGGACAGTCCTCTTCCCGCCGCATCGTCCCCGCAGGCCAGAGGCACCAAGTCCTCATGCGGTCACCTCCACTCAGCACTTCCCCCCCGGGGCAGAGGGAACCCTGTCCACACTGCAGTCACCTCCACTCAGTCCCCCCAGGTCACAGGGAACGCTGTCCACACTGCAGTCACCTCCACTCAGCACCCCTGGGGCAGAGGGAACCCTGTCCACACTGCAGTCACATCCACTCAGCCCCCATGGGTCACAGGAAACCCTGTCCACACTGCAGTCGCCTCCACTCAGTCCCCCTGGGTCACAGGGAACCCTGTCCACACTGCAGTCACCTCCACTCAGTCCCCCTGGGTCAGAGGGAACCCTGTCCACACTGCAGTCACCTCCACTCAGTCCCCCCTCCCCGGGTCAGAGGGAACCCTGTCCACACTGCAGTCACCTCCACTCAGCACCCCCGGGTCACAGGGAACCCTGTCCACACTGCAGTCACCTCCACTCAGTCCCCCTGGGTCACAGGGAACCCTGTCCACACTGCAGTCACCTCCACTCAGTCCCCCTGGGTCACAGGGAACCCTGTCCACACTGCAGTCACCTCCACTCAGTCCCCCTGGGTCACAGGGAACCCTGTCCACACTGCAGTCACCTCCACTCAGCACCCCCGGGTCACAGGGAACCCTGCCTACACTGCATCTCCTCAGCCCCACGGGTCTGAGGGAACCCTGTCCACACTGTGCAGTTCTATCTACCCAGAGGCTGAGGATCCCTGGGGGAAAGCACGTGGCTGATGCCCCCCACCGTGGCCTCTGGCAGCTCTGCACCACAAGGCCAGGCCGGCCTGTGCCTGTCCCCCGGATGCAGGGCTACTGAGGATCTGGACCACAGGGGTGGAGGGGGCAGCGGATCAGCAAATCACACTCACCAGTAAAACTGCTCTCCTGAAGCCGTGGGGCCGGGGGGTGGGGGGGGGGGCGGGCGGAGGAAAGACAAATTATTAGAAGGGACTCTCCCTGGGATCCCTGTCTCAATCATCCGAGGTCCACAGCTAACAGCCATTCACTCTCCCCTCCCCAGCTCCGCCCCACCCAGCCCGCAGTACGCCAGGATGTTGGCAGCATGCAGAGGCCACAGTGAGGCAGGGCACAGCGCGGCGGGACCAGCGCCGGGCAGAGGCGCGTAGGTGTCCTTACCTGGCAATGGCACCTCGCTGTGTGAAGGGCCAGAAGGCCGTGGGTGCTCCAGCAGGGCGAGCGGGAACAGACGATCCCACCAGAGGCACAGAGGCCAACGGCCAGCAGGAGCAGGGGCGCCCATCCGGGGCTCCCCATGGGCTTCTGCAGGGTCAGGGCGCAGGGAACATGGCTGCGCGGCCTGCACGGGGGCAGCAGGGCCCCACTGTGCACCGGGAGCACAGCACCAGCAGGAGCCCTGCGGAGGCCTGCCCTGACCCCGCCCTGCTGCAAAGCTCCTCCCCCGTCCTAGCCAGCCAGCCCGGGCACATTCCTTCTTCCACGTGGAGGGACGTGGAGGGACGGAGGGACTCAGCCCCCAGAAACCTCCAGTGCCCCACCTGAAAGACGACGGGGCCCTGGTGTGGGAGAAAAACGACAGGAAAGGGGCCAGCATCAGGTTGGGGGGTGCACCCATTGCTTCAGCCCTCCCACTCCTCAAACGCCTTGCAGATCCAAGACGTCCAGGAACACATGCTACCTTGGGTCTCCCACGGACATGTGCTTCCTGCCATCACCGAGATTATTAATGGCACTACGAAGCACTGCTTCGCACCGGGTCCTGCAGATACAGAGGCGACCCACACACCAGTCAGCGCGGGGCAAAGAAGGGCATAACGGCATGATGGGTGCAGGTAACGGCATGATGGTGCCCCAGGTGGACCCCGGCTCTCAGGACTCCGCCAGCGCTCTCGACCTGCATCTGCTTCCAGCTCTTCTGGGAAAAAGGCTCCGTGCCAGAGGGGCCTCCAGCTTCAGCACAGCGGCCTCCGAAGCCCCGGAGCCGAGGGAGCAGCCCCGCGCGCTGACCTGGTTTCCTGTGGTTTCCGCTGCGGGAGCGAGGCTGACGAGGCTCCCTCTTCAGGGGACCCTCCCCACCACCCCACAGCTTCCTCTCCCTCACGGAGTACCTGAGCTGCTCAGCCCTCATTCTGCATCACCCACAGAAAATCTGGGGCGCGCCTCCCAGGCCAAGCATCTCAAGAGTGTCGTGCCCGGCAACCCAGTTGAGAACGCCCTTCTGCAGCCGGACCCAGCCTTCTTCCAGACAACTCCAGTCCGAGGTCTCCAGGGTCCTCCTTACACATTATCCTCAAACCACTCTCTAGCTTTTGAAGCCATTACAAGATAAAGACCTTTCATTCGTTTTATTTAAGTACCTAAAGATGCTTTCTTTAAAATATTTATTTTATTTATTTGAAATATAGAGTCACAGAGAGAGGTAGAGCCAAAGAGAGAGGTCTTCCATCCGCAGGCTCACTCCCCAGATGGCCTCAACGGCCAGAGCTGAGTTAATCCAAAGCCAGGAGCCAGGAGCTTCTTCCTATTCTTCCATGCAGGTGCAGGGCCCCAAGGACTTGGGCCATTTCCACTGCTTTCCCAGGCCACAGCAGAGAGCTGGATCGGAAGTGGATCAGCTGGGACTCAAACTGGCACCCATGTGGGATACCGGCACTGCAGACCGGTGGTATTTAACCTGCTACGCCACAGCTCAGGCCCAATCTTAAGATTTTTTAATTCATTTGAGAGGTAGAGTCACAGTGAGAGGGAGACACAGAGAGAGGTCTTCTACCGGCTGGTTCACTCCCCAAATGGCCACAACAGCTGCAGCTGAGCCGATCCAAAGCCAGGAGCTTCCTCCAAGTCTCCCACATGGGTGCAGGGGCCCAAGCACTTGGGCCATTTTGTACTACTTTCCCAGGCCATAGCAGAGCTGGATTGGAAGAGGAGCAGCTGGACTCAAACCAGGGCCCATATGGGAGGCACACACTGCAGGCAGAGAGTTAACCTACTGCAATAGCCCAGGACTCTTTGTTACTTTGTTTCTCCTGTGCCTGAGAGAAGGTGATGAGGCAGGTGCTCTGTGGCTGAACACGTGCCAGTTACGGCACATTTCATCTAAGTCATCTATCTGTTTCACAGTTTGCTACCTGAGCCTCCGAAGCAGCCAGTGCCAGGTGAGGTTTGTCTTCATTTCACAGAGGGAGAAATGAGGAAGCAGAGGGGACAGTGAGTTGGTGAAGGTCAAAGTCTGCAGCTCAGGGAACTCCCCACCATGCTCGGCACCTCGGTTCTCGACCACTGCGTGGTCCCTCCTCCCCCACACTGCTCCACCTTCCTCTGCTCTCGGAAGCCGGAAGGGTCAGCCAGACACAGCACTAAGCCTGGCCTTGGAGTCCATCTCTGCAAAACAGACAAATGGTGCTCTGGCTGTCTAGGGATGGGTTAGGGGCACTCCCCCAACTCCCCAGCACACAGTGCTTCACGTCTGCATCAGGCGCTTCCCGGGCCCTGCTGTGGTGCAGCGCGTAAGGCCGCTGTCTGTAGAGCCAGCGTCTCATACGGGTGCTGGTTTGAGTTCTGGCTGCTCCACTTCTGATCCAGCTCCCTGCTAATGCACCTGGGAAAGCAGTGCAGGATGGACCAAGCGCCTGGGCCCCTGCACCCACGTGGGAGACCTGGATAAAGCTCTGGGCTCCTAGCTTTGGCCTGGCCCAGCCCTGGCCATTGTGGCCATTTAAGAAGTGAACCAGCAGATGAAAGACCTCTCTCTCTCTCTCTCTCTCTCTCTCTCTCTCTGCCTCTCTGTAACTCTTTTGAAATAAAATACATAAACCTTAAAAAAAAAAAAAGTTTCCTAGCGCAAAACACTTGTGATTCCTCTGTCCTCTTGATCTCTGACGGTGAAATTACCTCGTTGACTGCTCCCTAGTCATGCTAAGGTAAGGTAGGAGAAGGAGAAAAGAAAGAAAAAAGGGAGAAGAGAAGGTGGGAGGAGAGAAGAGCAGCAGAGAGAAGGGCGGAGCGGGGGCCAGGTAGCCGGCAGCTAGTGCTGGCCCGGGCTGAGCGCTGGCAGCCTGCTCCGGGAGGGATCTGAACTGAAAAGCTCACCTGGGGAAGGAGGTGGGGCAGGAGAACCAACTTCTCCTCAACTCCGTCACCCAGGGCCACACACTCTGCCCACTTCATCTCGTCTTGCTAGTTCTACAACCCTGAGGTCAGTATTACTGCCCATTTCACAGACAGGACACACTCAGCAGGACTGGGCAGCTTGTCTAAAAACACACAGCTGGGGCCGGCGCCCTGGCTCACTTGGTTAATCCTCCACCTGCGGCGCCGGGTTCTAGTCCCGGTTGCTCCTCTTCCAGTCCAGCTCTCTGCTGTGGCCCGGGAAGGCAGTGGAGGATGGCCCAGGTCCTTGGACCCTGCACCCGCATGGGAGACCAGGAGGAAGCACTTGGCTCCTGGCTTCAGATTGGTGCAGCACTGGCCATAGCAGCCATTTGGGGGGTGAACCAATGGAAGGAAGACCTTTCTCTCTCTCTCTCTCTCTAACTCTGTCAAACAAGCAAGCAAGCAAGCAAGCAAATACACACAGCTACGATGCAGAGCGCTGGGCCTCACAAGCCCGTCTTCCTGGCTCTTGCGGCCAGAACACCGTGCTGGCCGCAAGAGGAGCGGGAGCTCACAGGGTGATACGGGCAGCAGGCTCAAGGCGGAGCTGAGGTGGCCAGACCGCTCAGGGTGGGGACTGCTCAGCAAGCGTCAACACGCACGTGGTCAGCAACTCTGAGGCTGGACCGGGGCGGCCAGCAGGAGGAAGGGCAACAGGGCTGTGTGGCGAGCTTCAGAGGCCCCGTCCTCTTGGAAATGGCCAAGGCCTGTGTCTCCTGGCGTTTGTGTATGAACTGCCCAAAACTTCACGCTTCATGACCTTGACCTGCGGACAAAGCCAGTCCAGGGAGTTGCGTGGCCGCTCTGCACGCTCCAGCACACAGTTCAGGGTCACAGCCTCCCTTGTGCCTGCACTCTGGCCAGACCATGCAGCAGCTCCAGGGTCTTCTGTGATGGCCACTTCCTAAGGTCTGCTGAGCCAACCACACCCAGTGGTGAACACCCATGGCAGGAAATCCAACCAATCAGACCAATATAAACACCAGGAGTGGGCGAGCATCCCTCACCTCTGCTCTTCAAGAATTTTTTTTTAAAGGGTAGTTTGTTTCTCTGAAGGGAGGAGAGAACTTCCACTTTGACTATGGCTGTGTCTACATAAGATCGGGAGCTTGTGAACTCAAGAGGCTTCTGTAGCCTTGGCAGCTCATGACAAGAGCCTTGGGTGATTACTGACGTCATAAATAAGAGTGTCAATTGTTAAGTCAACAACGGGATCACTGTGCACTTGCTCCGCATGTAGGATCTCTGTCCTTAACGTGTTGTACTATGCGAATTAACGGTAAAACTACTACTCAAACAGTACTCTATACTTTGTGTGTCTGTGTGAGTGCAGTCTGTTGAAATCTTTACTTAGAATATACTAAAGTTGATCTTCTGTATACAAAGATAATTGAAAATGAATCTTGATGAAGAATGGGATGGGAGAGGGAGTGGGAGATGGGATGGCTGTGGGTGGGAGGGAGGTTATGGGGGCAAAAGCCACTATAATTCAAAAGTTGTACTTTGGAAATTTATATTAAATAAAAGTTGAAAAAAGTAATTAATTTGAAAGGCAGAGTTAGAGAAAGGCAAAGACAAAGAGAAAGAGAGAGGAGAATCTTCCGTCCACTGTTTCATCCCCCAAATGGCTGCCAACAGCTAGAGCTTGGCCAATCAGCAGCCAGGAGCTTCATCCAGGTCTCCCATGTGGCTGCAGGGGCCCAAGCACATGGATCATCCTCTGCTTCCCTCCAAGGCGCATTAGCAGGGAGCTGGATTGGAAGTGGAGCAGCTGGGACTCAAACCGGCACCCATATGGGTGCTGGCACTGCAGGTGGTGGCTTTACCCACTGCACCACAGCACCAGCCCCTCTTCCAGAACTGAAATAAGAAACTATTCCTAAGAGGCAAGAACTTCCAATCTGAGAAAGGAAGTCAACAACTGCTCATTGGGGAAGGCACTTTTTTTTTTTTTTTTGACAGGCAGAGTTAAGAGACAGTGAGAGAGACGGAGACAAAGGTCTTCCTTCTGTTGGTTCACCCCACAAATGGCTGCTACGGCCAGCGCACTGCACCGATCCGAAGCCAGGAGCCAGGTGCTTCCTCCTGGTCTCCCATGTGGGTGCAGGGTCCAAGGACCTGGGCCATCCTCCACTGCCTGGGGAAGGCACTTTGATACTAAGCCACTATAATGAACTAGACAATTCATGCATGTCATTTATTTAAGCCTCATGACACTGCTGGGAAGTACTAAGATACTCCTATGTCAGATCAAAAACTGAGGTCCAATAGCTAGCTTAAGGTACAAGGTGGTAAAACGCCTCGGCAGAATCCCAACCCAAGTCAGTCTCATGAGAAACCGCTCACTGCCCCACACTGACTTTCTAGTGACCTAGAAGGTTTCTAAGAATCCCTCCAACTCTGTACTCTCTACTCCAACAGGGATCAGGGAACAACAACCACTCTGTGCATCGATTGAGAGCTATGTGGTTCACAAAGCACTATCTTTAAAAAAAAAAAAAAATTTATTGTATTTATTTGAAACAGTTGGACAGAGAGGTCTACCATCCTCTGGTTCACTCCCCAAATGGCGGCAATGACCAGAGCTGAGCTGATCCAAAGCTAGCAGCAGCTTCTGGGTCTCCCACATGGTGCAGAGGCCCAAGAACTTGGGCCATCTTCCACTGCTTTCCCAGGCACATTAGCAGGGACCCGAACCAGCCCACATGGAATGCTGTTGCTGCAGCCCAGGGCTTTAGTCTTTCACAATGCATCTCCTTTCATCTTCACAACCTGTGAACAGGCAGGGTTGATCCTGGTCCTATGAGCAGCAGGTGCACCTGGATTTGAACACCAATATTCTGTTCTTTCCATTTAATCAAGACCCAACAAGAGGTTCGCTTCAGGGAATGCTGCCACCGTCAGGCAAAAAGGGGGGAAATGCCAGGGGAACCAGAACCCAAACAATCCAACAAGGCACACACACCAACCAGCTTTCTGTTTGAGGTTTTAGTTACTTCCATAATGAGTCTTCAAGTTACTCTAGGGACCAGTGCTGTGGCACAGCAGGTTAAAGCCCAGGCCTGCAGTGCCAGCATCCCGTATGGGTACTGGTTTGAGTCCCAGCTGTTCCACTTTTTTCAAGATTTATTTACTTGAAAGAGTTACAGAGAGAAGTAGGACAGAGCGAGAGGTCTTCCATTCGTTGGTTCACTCCTCAGATGGCCACAACGGCCGGAGCTGTGCCAATTCGGAGCCAGGAGCTTCTTCCTGGTCTCCAATGTGTACAGGGGCCCAAGGACTTGGGCCATCTTCCACTGCTTTCCCAGGCCATAACAGAGAGCTGGATTGGAAGAGGAGCAGCCGGGACTAGAACCAGCGCCCATATGAGATGCCGGCGCTGCAGACCAGGGCTTTAACCCGCTGCACCGCAGCACGGGCCCCCCGGTTGCTCCACTTCTGACCTAGCTCCCTGCTATAGCACCTGGGAAGGCAACAAAGGATGGCCCAAATCTTGGGCCCCTGCACCCACATGGGAGAACCAGAAGCAGCTCCTGGCAGCTCAGCTATGGCTGCTGTGGCCATCTGGAGAGTACATCAGCAGATTGAAGAACTTGCTCTGTCTCTACCTCTTTATGTAACTCTTTCAAATATTTTTTTTTAATTACTTTAAGACTGTAAAGCATCATTCCAACAACCAAAGACTTTTTTTTTTTTTTTTAATTTATTCATTTGTAAGTCAGAGGTACAGAGAGAGGAGAGGAAGCGGAGCAGCCAGGTCTCGAAGCAGTGCCCATATGGGATGCTGGCACTTCAGGCCAGGACATTCACCCACTGCGCCACAGCGCCGGCCCCCAAAGACATTTTTAACTTGTTTTTCTGAAGATTATTTGTATACCAATTCTTCAAAAATTATCCATGTTGTATGTAACTCCACTCCCCACACCTTCTCCAGTCTGCTCTCCAAATTCTACTCCTTATTCAGTTGAGTCCCAGCCTCTGCAGCTGACTCTGTAGTCTACAATACAGCAAGCTACCTCATTCGTGACCAAGGGGCGTGGCAGACAGGCAAACTGCCAATCTTGTCAATAACAGCAAAAAATAAAAACAAGGAGGAAAAACTCACCCTGAATTCAAAGAACCAGGAGGCCCCAAAATTACCACATGAACTGGGACTTAACAGGGGTGAGTAACACAGAAATGTCAACGCGGAAAAGGAGAAATAAACCATGGAACCCGTGGCGGGACCCCCCGAGGCTCCGACTGGGAGACAGTGCAGGGCCAGCGGGCTGCGACCCGCCCGGAAAGCGTATGGACAGTGCACCTGGCAACCTCACAGAGCACGGAGAGCGGGACGATCGGGGCTGTGCCCGTGTATTCTCACTTGACCGCAGCGGTGCACACGCACCGAATTTGAGGGGGCGATCAGATTGCGAGAGGAGCAGCGCCTGCCGCTGGAGCTCAGAGTGCTCATAGAACTACGAGGGCGGAGCCGCTGGGTGCAGACCTGGACGTCTCCCAGCACCCACGGCATCCAAGGGTCCTGCGGTTCAAAGCGCTGTTCCCGACTTCTATTATTAAAACTCCTAACATCAGATACCATGTTGACGGATTCACATGTAGATTACATTTCCTATAGAATTCTTTTTGATATCGTTAGTTTTAGATGCCTAACTGATCAACATGAGTATCCAACTAAGAGAGCCTGTAACACATGCTAGATAATGAGAACGGGTCACTCCCAGCCGGAGAGACTACAGGGCAGGTCTGGGTGGTTCCTGACGATCAGAGGCAGGGCTCCCCATGTACGCTCCCTCTACTTCTCCACAGCCCCTGCCAGGCTTCTCCGGTCTCCTGGTGCCTAAGGCCACCCAAACACCTACACCTCTCACGGCATCAGAGCCCAGACACAGGGTGGCCAGGGCAGTCTTTATTGAGGTTCTGTTTACTTAAAATGCTTTCAGCAGAGACCACAGCCTGCAAGAACAGCTTCCCCAGCGTTTCCTGCCCCATGACCTAGACCGAAGTGGAACTGGATTTATGCTTCATCTCCCTCAGTCTTGATGGCTATGGGGAGATGGATGGAGGCGGGGGGAACAAACAAGGGCAGGCAAGGCGCAGTCTTCTAAGGATAACCTGACCCAGCTTAGATTGGTTTCTCTGCTGTCAGTCACTCAGCTCCAGTCAACCAGGAATACATTTACTTTGGCCCCTCAGCAGGTGTCAGCGGGAGCGGCTTTCCAGAATGTGGACCACGCTGGCTTCAGGTGCCAACACCACAGCTGCCAAATTCCTAGAAGACACTTAAGACCAGGTCCTCGACCCCCCTCACCCACAGAGAGTCCATCAGGGACCCCAGGCCTCACCCACAGAGAGTCCATCAGGGACCCCAGGCCACGCCCACAGAGAGTCCATCAGGGACCCCAGGCCACGCCCACAGAGTCCACCAGGGAGGCCCAGGCCACGCCCACAGAATCCACCAGGGAGGCCCAGGCCACGCCCACAGAGTCCACCAGGGAGGCCCAGGCCACGCCCACAGAGTCCACCAGGGAGGCCCAGGCCACGCCCACAGAATCCACCAGGGAGGCCCAGGCCACGCCCACAGAGTCCACCAGGGAGGCCCAGGCCACGCCCACAGAGCAGTCCACCAGGGAGGCCCAGGCCTCGCCCACAGAGAGTCCACCAGGGAGGCCTAGGCCTCACCCACAGAGAGTCCACCAGGGAGGCCCAGGCCACGCCCACAGAGTCCACCAGGGAGGCCCAGGCCACGCCCACAGAGTCCACCAGGGAGGCCCAGGCCTCGCCCACAGAGTCCACTGGGGAGGCTTTATTTACGCTTCTTCTCTTGCGTGCTGGTGAACCAGGCGTCCAGGAGCTTCTTGCTGTAGTATAACTGCCACGCATGCACTTGCACCGCCAGCACCAGCACCAGGTACATGACGGAGACAGCAGAAAACCCGAAGAGGAAGCGGTAGGCTTTGCCGTGGCGGTAGAGCTGCTGGGCAGCGGGGAACATCTCCATGCTGCCATAGATGAGCGGAGCGATGGAGAAGAGCCCCATGCTGATCATGGAGAGCACGAGGTAGCTGATGTTGTTGCGCGGGAAGGAGAGGAGGCCCAGGAGGGAGGGCACGACGCTCAGCAAATACGGGTACTCCCACTGGTAGGGCATGGCCACCTGGTCATGCGACAGCAGCCGCAGGTGTCCCACGCTCATCTTGGCCACCAGCAGCAGCCACAAGACCAGATGCACGTAGATCAGCTTCTTGATTTCATACTTGAGGGTCACACTGTGGGGCAGAGCACAGGGAGAGCACCTTTCACTCACGTTTTTCTGACCACCACCTGCACGCTAGGCGACTGTACTGGATAATGATAGAAATGGGAGTAAGACACAGACCCCGGGGGCCGGTGCTGTGGAGCAGCCAGTGAAGCCCACATGGGCTCTGGTTCGAGTCCCGGCTGCTCCACTTCCGATCCAGCTCTCTGCTATGGCCTGGGAAAGCAGAAGATGGCCCAAGGCTTGGGCCCCTGCACACATGTGGGAGACCTGGAAGAAGCTCCTGGCTTCATATTGGCGCAGCTCGGGCCGTTGCGGCCATTTGGGAAGTGAACCAGCGGATGGAAGACCTCTCTCTCTCTTAACTCTGCCTTTCAAATAAATAAATCTTAAAAATGTAAAAAAAAGTGAAGTGAGAAAGTTCTCATATGGTCCATGAGCTATGGGCTCACAGGAAGGCAGAACAGCTCTGTGTGGGACGAGGAGTAGGACAAGGCTGTCCAGAGGGAGGCATTTCAGCCAGGCTCTAAGGATGCTGGAGACGGGCCCTGCACGCCCGGGCACCGACATTCGAGTACCGGCCGTCCGCACTGGTGCTCCAGGAAGTCAGCAGCTGAGCGCAGCCAGGGCCCGCTGCGGAGACTAGGAAGGCGCGGGGGCAAGGCCGAGCCACACCGCAGGCTGGAAGGAGGCACCGGCCAGGACATCGGCCCGGCCTGCCACACGTCTGCAGCCAGCGTGGACGTTCCAGCCAGGGGAGGCACACGTTTCCCCCCTTCTCCCAATTCCTCCAGGCCGCAGGGGCAGCTGCCCGCACCCCCAGGGGCAAAGCCGCCGCTGAGACCCACCAGTGAAGACCCCTGCCTGGGTTCTAACGCGCGCTCACAGCGGGGCCTAAGGACGGGCGTGAACTCGGCGTTCAGAAAAGCCGGTCTAGGAAAACACTTGCGAGGAACATTCTAGAAAGCTCAGGGGCCTTAAAGATCTACGCTCTATTTTTATTTTAAAATGCCGTAGGGAAGCAGAGAAAAACGCCGGCTTCTTGGACTTCGAGGACCAGAGCTGACGGCCAGGTCCACCGCACCCCGGCGCCCACCTCCACGCCACGCGAAAGCGAGCGACCGCACGAACACGGAGACGCCTCGCCCGCGCGCCGCCCGGTCCACGGCCACAGTCCATGTGGCAGGTGCCCACCACCCCAACACTCGCTAGCTCCCCACCGAAACCGCACACGCGGGCCATCTGCTCCCGCTACGGGCGAGGAACCTGAGGCTCGGCGACAAAACCAAGTTCTCAAGGTCACACACGCGAGACGGCAGCCGTGGCTCCGACCGCGGAGCCCACGCGGGGCCCGAGCCCCCTCGCCACTCGGGCCGGACCACGGGGCGGCGCTCGCGGGGGCCGCTGGGCTCCGCGGGGTTGGCTGGGGACGCGACCGAGGCCGCCGCGGAAGGAGGGGGACCGGACCGGGGCGGGGCGGGCGGGGCGGGGGCTGGCCGGGCTGTCAAACCCCGGGGGGCGCCGGCGTCGCGCGCCTCACCCGTACCTCATCTGATAGTGCGTGGCGACGCGCTCCCGGTGCTGAAAATCGCTGCCGTCCGTGCCGGCCGCTCGCGGGCCCGCCCGAGACGCCATGGTCCCTGCTCAGCACCCTGGGGCCCGCAGCACAGCCCGCCGCCGCGACACCCGCGCCAACAGTTCCGCCAGCCCCTCTGTCGCCGCCTCGGTGCAGCCACACAACGGCTGGGCGGAAGTGCCGGGCACTTCCGGCCTCTCTGCCCACGCTGGGAGGACCGTCTCTATGGCCCCGGCCCCACGGAGGAGCCGGGAACCCTGGGTAGTGCCCCGCCCCGCGAGCAGAGCCGCAGGAAGTGAGTCCGATGCCCCTATTCCCATCACGGAGGCCGGGAGCTGGATTCCTGGAAGGCTTTATGCCTTTCCCAGCACACATCTTCCCGTCTCAGAAGTTTCCCTCCAGAGACCACGTAATCATTGCAGGGGCTGGAGCTGTGGCCTGCCGCCTGCAGTGCGGACATCCCATGTAGACGCCGGTTCGAGTCCCGGCTGCTCCACTTCCGATCCCGCTCTCTGCTATGGCCTAGCAAAGCAGTGGAAGGTGGTCCAAGTGCTTGGGCCCCTGCACCCATGTGGGAGACCCAGATTGGTTTCCTGGCCCCTGACTTCTGCCTGGTACAGCCCCAGCTGTTGGAGGCATTTGGAGACTGTACCAGTGGATGGAATCTCTTTCTGTCTCCCCTTAAAGTGAATAAAAATTTAATTAAGTAGTATAGGGGCCGGCGCTGTGGCATAGTGGATAAAGCTGTTGCCTGCAGTCCCCACAACCCATATGGGCACCAGTTCGAATCCCAGCTGCTCCACTTCAGATCCCACTCTCTGCTATGCCCTGGGAAAGCAGCAGCAGATGACCCAAGTCCTTGGGCCCCTGCACCCACATAGGAGACCTGGAAGAAGCTCCTGGCTCTTGGCTTTGGAACGGCTCAGCCCCAGCTGTTGTGGCCATTTGGGGACTGAACCAGCGGATGGGAGACCTCTCTCTGTGTCTCTTCCTCTCAAATAAATAAATAAAATCTTTAAAATTATATTTCATTGTCCAGAAACTTCTTGAAGTACCCTCACATAGATAGAGAGGGAGGGGAGAATGAGAGGGGAAAGACAGATACATTTTTTCACTGGAATATTAGTTGCAATGTACTTCCCCTATGTATTGTAGGTCATTTGACTCCGCTCCTTGTGCTGAAGTTTAGCATATGAGGCATCTCTTAGGTAGCCAAATGCAGGCTTCTTTCCCGCTCCATTGAGCACAGGTGGAGTCCGTCTCCACTCGCAGGTGTTGAGAATCTTGCTCCTACGTTGCCTCCCTCCCTGGAATGTGAATTCCTCAAAGGCCAGGGGCCAGATCTGTCTGTCCCCGCGCAGGCACAGTGCCTGGCATGCTGTCAGCGTTCAGGAAACGTTTGCTGACTTCCAACTGAGCCCGGGGAAGCATCCTGTCTGGCTCTGGCTTCTGCTGTCTGTCCCTGTCTGCGCTTGGATTTCATCAGAGCCAGGCTGCTGCTGAGTCACCCACTGGCCTATCCGGGGACACAAATGCACACTGGGAAGGCGAGAGCTGTGGGTCGACGCCCAGGGGAGGTGCCCAGCCCTGTCCCAGAACCTCCTCCTCCAGGGGTCGCCCGTCTGCCTGGGCCCTCATTCTGCCAGACGGGGGGGAGCTGTTTGTGCAGCTCTTGCTCTGCACCCTGAGGACTCCCTTCCCAGCGCCTGCGCGCCGATATTTCCTTTATCTACCTCACTTGTCCCCCGGGACTGCAGAGCCTGGCTTTGCACAGCCAGGATGCAGCGAGAGGCTGCCCGGCCCGGACCTTCCTCGCCCTGCTGTTTCATGCATACGTGTGTACCGTGCTATTTAATTTCACATACACACTGGCTATAAAATATCACCTCGCTTTGTGTTCTCCCCAGAACGTGACTGCCTGAAATCATTTCTATTTTGAAATTTTTTCCGTTTGTTCATGGTCTATGCCCCCCGACCCCCGGCACACAGAAATGTCAATCTTGAGGGTGTGGGACACAGCTGTCTTGTTTCCCACTGCCCTCTCAGCCCCTGGAGGGCTGGTATATAGTGAACACTTCATCCACGTTGTCCAGGGGCCAGCACTGTTACAACACTGCAAGTAACGCTGGCGCCTTACACTGAAGGGGCAGTATAAGCTCCACTTCCTACCCAGCTCCGTACTAATGCGCCTGGGAGAGCCTGGGGGAGCAGTGGAGGATGGCCCAAGTCCTTGGGCCCCTGCAGCCATGCGGGAGACCCAGAAGAAGCTCCTGGCTCCTGGCTTCGATCGGCACAGGTCTGGCCGTTGTGGCCAATTAGGGAGTGAACCAGCAGATGAGAGATCTCTTTATGCCTCTGCCTCTCTGTAACTCTGCCTTTCAAATAAGTAAATAAATCTTTTTTTTTTTTTTAAGTGTGAATTCTTAGGCCGCACCTTAGACATTCTGAGTTAGGACCTCTGGGGGGGTGGGGTGGGCAGCAATCTGAATTTTCAAGAAATTTTAGTTTTATTTATTTATGTGGAAAGAGACAAAGAGAGAGAGACCTTTTATCTACTGGTTCACTCCCTAAATGCCAACAATAGCTGGGGCTGGGCCAGGCTGGCGCTGGATGAAGCCAGGAGCTCCCCCTGGGACTCACATGTGGGTGGCAGGGGCTCAACCACCTGAGCCATCGTCTGTTGCCTCCCAGGGCATGTTGTGACTAGCAGGGAGCTGGGATGGGTTCAGAGCCAGGACTTGAACCCAAGCCGTCCAGTATGGGATGTGGGAGTCCCAAGTGACATCTTTTTTTTTTTTTTTTTTTTACAGGCAGAATGGACAGTGAGAGAGACAGACAGAAAGGTCTTCCTTTGCCGTTGGTTCACCCTCCAGTGGCCACCGCGGCTGATCTGAAGGCAGGAGCCAGGTGCTTCTCCTGGTCTCCATGTGGGTGCAGGGCCCAAGTACTTGGGCCATCCTCCACTACACTCCCGGGCCACAGCAGAGAGCTGGACTGGAAGAGGGGCAACCGGGACAGAATCCGGCGCCCCGACTGGGACTAGAACCGGGAGAGCCGGCGCCACAGCAGAGGATTAGCCTATTGAACCATGGCACTGGCCCAAGTGACATCTTAACAACTCAATCTGAATTTTTAAAAAAGGTTTCTTTATTTGAAAGTCAGAGCAACATGCATAGAGGGGGCAAGACAGAGAGAAGAGACCTTCCATCCACTGGTTCACTCCCCAAGTGGACACAACAGTCAGGGCTGGGCCAAGCTGAAGTCAGGAAACTAGAACTCCATCTGGGTCTCCCACGTGAGTGGCAGGGGCCCAAGAACTGGGCCCATCATCTGCCGTCTTCCCAGGGCATCGGCAGGAAACTGGATCTGAAGCAGAGCAGCTGGGACTTGAAGCAGCACTCGGATGTGGGGTGCAGGGTTTTCAAGCAGCGGCTTAACCTGCTGTGCCACAACGCTGGCCCCCAGTCGGAATTCCAACAGGCCCCTCAGGTCATTTTGATGCAATAAAGTGTGAAAACCTTGTGCTAAAATAAAGATGAAGCTGAACTTTTTTTTTTTTTTTTTTGCTTAACCCTTATTGAGATAACATCCTTAATTAAGTCATGAGTCGCCTTCTCACTCAGATGCACATTTAATCTTTACCACATTTACAGGGTTGGCAAGCGTCATCCAAGCTATTGTGATTGGACCTCTCGGGGCAACATTTGTCTTCCCCCGAAGAAACCCTGTGACCGTTAGCAACACTTCCTATCTCCCCCAACCCCTCACCCCGGCCCTGGGCCATTGCTAATCAATATTCTGCCTTAATAGATCCGATCATACTATATGTGATTCTATCCGCTGGCTCTCATCACCGTGAGGAACACCAGAGACAAGCTACCTAGGAAGGAGGGTGTTTGGGTCACAGTTTTGCAGGTTCACAGTCACGATCAGGTGGAGGCCTCCCTCTCTGGCCGTCTGCTGAGGCTGGAGGAAGGCCACAAAGGAGCTTTGCAGAGGAAGGAGAGCGGGTGAGCCAGGAACAGATAACGGCTCGCACCAACTCAGCTCTCCTAACCACCTGCCGAGGGCACACCCCATGACCCGAGGACCTGCCATCAGGCCCAGCTTCTAGAAACAGGAATTAGAGGGGCAGATGCTGTGGTGTAGAAGGTAAGGCCACCGGCTGCAGCGCCAGCATCCCATATAGGTGCTGGTTCAAGTCCCAGCTGCTCCACTTCTGATCCAGCTCTCTGCTATGGCCTGGGAAAGCAGTGGAAAATGGCCCAAGTGCTTGGGGCCCTGCACCCACATGGGAGAACCAGAAGCTCCTGGCTCCTGGTTCAGATCAGCCCAGCTCTGACCGTTGTGGCCATTTGGGGAGTGAACCAGTGGATGGAAGACCTCTCTCTCTCTCTCTCTCTCTCTCTCTCTGACTCTGCCTCTCTGTAGCTCTGCCTTTCAAATAAATAAAATATCTTTTAAAAAAATCATAATTAGATTAAATTTCCACCCTCTTAGTACTGATGACTTATGATTTGGGGAATTTTTTAAAGATGTATTTTATTTATTCAAAAAGCAGAGTTAGAGAAAGAGAGAGGGATTTTCCACCTACTGGTTCCCTCCCCAAATGGATACAACAGCTGGGGCTGAGCCAGGCAGTCACCAGGAGCCGGGAACTCCATCTGGGTCTCCCGTGTGGGCAGCCAGAGCCCAAGTACTGGAGCCACTAGCAGGGAGCTGGATTGTGAACAGAGCAACGGGGACTAGAACTGGCACTCAGAGGGGATGCTGGCTTCACAGGCAGTGGCTTAACCTGCCGCACCACAACAGGCCCCTGCTTTGGCGATTTAAATGCTTGCAAGGTTCTAGAGTCATCTCTTCTACCAGGCTTCTCCCCCTTTGCCGGCTGTTCCAAAGCTCACCCACGCGGCAGTGCTAAGTCGACCCTTCTTATTGATAGATGCATATTTATTGACAGATATCCATAATGGATCAACTACATTCTCAGAGGCCATCAGCTGACAAACATTGGGTTGTTTCTGCCTCCTGGCTGTCACCAATAATGCCGTGAACATTCACGGACAGGCGCTTGTGCGGAGGCGTGCTTTCACTTCTGGAGACACGTGCATCAGCGGAACTGCCGCGCAGTGTCCTACACCCTGCACCACCACGCACTTCAGCCAGGCCAGTCTGTGCTACGAC